TGTAAGAACTGAAAAAGAGAACAATAACAAAGTAGGCTATCATGTGTGTATTTATTCATGAACCCTTGTTGAAATTGTACAAAGTACACATTACCTCCCAATATAATCTCAAGTTAGTGTGGTCTGCAAATGTTAACGAACAAATAGGAATACTTAAAAGAAAGTTTATTAACATAAAGATATTATAAGCGAATGTGAAGGTGTATTACTTCTGTGTAAAGTAAAAGTCAGGTTGCATAAAATATGTACACTGTTTGCACTCGAATGATCCAAAGTGTGATCCTAAGAAATCATTGTTTTAAGGAGATAGCTTGAGTTATATGAGGTGTGAGTTGTGTGATGTCCTTGTGAGCAGTTAATACCTTTGCTGTATTAGGCAGTAGTGAGAGTTCTCTGTTTAGAGAGGCAGTGAGGAATTTCATGGGGGAGCCAAGCTTACAGTTATTCAGTTATTGCAAGCAGGACAACAAAAGAGCAGATTTTTGCATCTCAAACTCAATTTACTACCTAGTCTTTATGGTTTTTTAATAACTACATAGCATATTTTAGTAAATAGTAACACACTTCTACAGTAAATACTGTCTTGTTTTATTTACAAAGCATTTTTAGCTGAGGTTGTGGTGCATATGGATGAATGTTACTTCTGTATACTCTGGTATTATGCATTTTAAAATATTTTAGATAGTTGACAGTAGTTAGTACAGTGAGGGTAAAATTTTATTCTCATTACTTGTTAGTACAATGTGACACCCTATCATATTATCGTTGCCTATAATGTATGATGCCCTCTGTGCTGGAAACATGATTTTAGAGTTAAGTAATTATACAGATAATAACGCAGTAAACTTCTAAATGCCATTGAATACTATTGTGAAAGGTTGGTTATACTATATTTACTGGGCATGGATGAATCGTTGGACAATTAGGGGCAAAGCCTTGAGCTCAAAGGGGAACGAGTTAGCTTTTTGAATGTGAGGACAAACCATTACACTGGTTTCGTAAGCAAGAAAGCAGTTGTCATTTGATTAAATTACTGCAGCAATTTAAAAGAAAAATCTCCCTGATTCCATCAGTGGTGTATGTCAAAGTTGTGTTTTCCTGTTGCCTCAAAGTCCAGATATTTATGTCTCCTAAAGTTCACAGAAATGCACATCAAGCCAATTACAAATGAGTTTGTATTTATAACTGTTTGGCCAATGGTATTTTGCTTAACTGTCCAGTGGAAACTGTTTTATTTATAGATTTCTGTTATTAAATCACATTGTCATTTTAACTTCTTCTGTCAGATTTAGTTACATCTTTTTATTGTGAGATCTTAAATAAATATATATTTATTTTTATATTTACATCCATCCATTATCGTTACCGCTTAGTCCCTAATGGAGTCAATCGCCGAGAGGAAGGGTACACCCTGGAAAGTCCGCCAGTCCATCGCAGGGCCACACAGAGACACGCAGGGACAAACAACCACTCACACTCACATTCACTCCTAAGGGACATTTGGAATGTCCAATCAACCTACTATGTAGGTTTTTGGACTGTGGGAGGAAGCCAGAGAATCCGGAGAGAACCCAGTCCACCCAGAGAGGTCCTGGGTTCCCCGGGACTCGAACCCAAGCACCACCGTGCCGTCCATTTGCGATATAAGTACACGTATACGACGATTACGGTATACGGCATGGTGGTGAGGTGGTTAGCACTGTTGCCTCACAGCAAGAAGGTTTTGGGTTCGGGTTCGAGTCCCGGGGGATCCAAGGTGTGTGGAGTCTGTGTGTTCTCCCTGTGTCTGCGTGGGTTCTCTCCGGGTTTTCCGGCTTCTTCCGACAGTCCAAAAACCTGCATGTTAGGTTGATTGGACATTCTAATTTTTCTTGTGTGGCCCTGTGATGGACTGGATGACCGTCCAGGGTGTACCCCGCCTCTTGCCCATTAACTACTGGCATAGGCTTCAGTCCCCCCTGTGACCCCATTAGGGAATAAGGGGTTATGATAATGGATGTATGGATAATGGATGGATGGATATATTGCAAATTTAGCTGTCATAATATCAGCAGTATCTTCTGGAACATACAGCTCTATTTTCACATTAGAATGGGGTGTGAGGAAGAATATAGAATAATATATCACAAAGTGAAAAAATGATGAATCCAAGACATACCTTTTTAGAATACCCTAACATTCGTAAACAGAATAAGAGTTGGCTTTTAAAGACTGATGAGTATGGGGAGTATAAAAAAGTAACATCACCAACCAATATTATATACCAGAACACAGAAAATATTTCAGTCTTAAAAAAACAGATATTACATTATATCCTCATGAAATATAAGCTAATCTATATTTTAACACTAAAATATCTCAAAACAATAGGGATAGGAGCTGTTTACCTTCGTGTAGCATCCTGTGTACTTTCTGATGTCTGTTGGTCCAACATCTAGGAACTTGGGAGACCAGTTTATCATAATCATTTTGGGCTGTATGATGCATCAAATATTTTCAGTTGAGGAAAGATCAGTCCATAATCCAGATTCCTATGTTTAGGCGCCAGGCTCTTTAAACAGATGAAGTATGAAGTTTAGCATAGTCTTGATGAAACATCAAAGAATTTTCCTCGAAAAATCTGAGATAGACAATATCTGTATGTATCTGTCCATTCAGGTGGTGTCTGCCAGATCGTTGCACTTTTATACCATCAGATCTACAAGTTTACTTTTTATTTTTGCATATAAAAGCATTAATCTGCAGACCATTATAATTCTGCCTATTGTGTATTTTTTCCTGAGGGCTCAAATATCACAGACAGGAACTGTGAGATGTATTTTAATACTATCATGTACTGTTGATCATTTAAAGTTTTTTAAAAGTTTTTCATTAATGAGAATTATTCTGACATTAAATAATTCCTAGATGTTTGCCTCATTTTTGCTTTTTTTTAAATCTCTGACAATCTTTACATCTCATGAGACTCCTAATATGCTCTTTTTTAATCACTTACGTTACTGATACATGTGACTTGTAACTATAACAAGATTATTTGCAGCATATACGTCAAACTGTTGCTTTTCAAAAAACAAAAAGGCTTCACTTCACTATAGTAAATACAGAAGTTGTCTTTACTCCCACCAGATTTTTGTGGCAAAATCTCATCCACAGCTCCCATTTTCTCCCACAGGTGCAAGGAAATTAAAATAGATAAGAAATACCCCGGCTTGTCACTGAATAAAACTGGTGACTTTGTGTGTGTGTGCGTGTGTGAAGTGATTGAAACGATGGTGACATGCAAGCAATTCTTTTTATTCTTTATTGGGTTAGGCAAAAGGGTGGATGACATTTAAAATCACTGTTCAAAACAAATATCACGTTAATTATGTTCATACTGTATGGTGACAATAAAGTATATGTTCAGTCAACAAACGGAATGAATTGTGCTGGCAAAAAAACAGAAAGCTTTAAGTAATCATAGAAACTAGTCTCATTGGTAGTATATATTCATATTTTCTGTTATATTGTGCTGTAATGAAAATGGGGAAAAAAATCTCCATTAATATGAAATAAATAACATTAAAAAAATAGTTCTGAAAATTAACATTAAACATGTATTACCACATTTTATTTACATATTTCTAGATTTACTCAGCCATTATGGTTTTTAACAGTGACTTAAAACAACTCCTCTAAGTTTATGACTATAATTATGTATTTGTTTGTCTATTTTATTTATTTATTTAGCTGTTATTAGATTAAATTATTGTTAACATTTCATTTTTAGCTACTTGACAATTTGAATTTCTCACACTGGGGAAAGATCAAAGTATTTTTCTATTCCATCAAAATATTATATTTTTTAAACACACTATCAAATCTGTTGATAGTGACAGTTTGCTTGATTCATTATTCTTAGTCTCCATTTCACTATAATATTTTTTCCTGATATTGTATAAGCTTTGTATCTCTTTAAGTTAGTTTTGTGTCTCTCTAGTATATGCTTTACCACTGAAGCTCATTTGTCACTTCAGTGACATTTTGAGATTTAGTGTACATGATCATAATCCTATATTTTTACAGTATTTACCTCCAAAGGAATCTTTAAAAACTGATTACCGCGAATGTTGGAAGCTATATGTTTATGTTAGCAATAACTGCACCATTTAAAGTCTCTCTTTATTTGTCTTTTTTATCACCATTTATTAATGTTGTCACTCCACTCATTTATGGTGCTGGAAAAATATACAAGAATGTCAAGAATTAAAAGCCACACATAAAAACCGCAAAAAAAAAAAAATCAACTTTAAGAATCAGGGACAGTCTCTCAAGAGAGTGAAGTTTGGCTTCGAGCCTTAATCACATCACGATCACATGAGCCCTGCAGACACACACTTGCACTGCCAATCATGTTATTCCACTCTTTGCCATTTGAGAGCATAAGCTTCCCTCTCAACGCGATCCCTCTTTTGGATCGCAGTGGTGGCTTTCAAGAAAAGATCGTTATACCGACCCTCCAGATGGCTTAAACTCTTCCAGATACTGTAGAAGGATTATTCTGAAAAGTAATAAAATAGAAGTCTGTGTTCCCATTTCATTTGATGCAAAGAAAGAAAACATAAAACATAAAGATAAAATGTGTTTTTGTACTCTATCTTAATGTGAATGCATTTGAACTAATAAAACCAAATTACAAGGAAACATAAATACTTCACAATTACACAAGACATTTGACGCTTACACTATGCATTTCACATGTTTTGGAAGGACATCATCAGTAAAGGTGTCAAAAACAACTATTGCAAGAAGATTAAGAATATTTCATCTTGCCAGCCAATGTTTCTTTGTTAAGCGTTTTTTTCTCAACACCTGCAGAGTCTGTGTTAGCATGGATCATTCTAACTAGATGTATACCTGGAAATTCTTTTTCTGTGCCATGTGTTAGCCACAGCTACCAGATGGTGAGGACATTTTTAGATACATCATTTGGATGCGAACTATCAAAAATGAAAGGCAAACTACATCCCTTTCCTTTCTCTTTGGATTCCATTTTTTTTATGAGGCCTGGATTTTAGTTTTGCGGTGGATTCACTCTTCATCGATTCCTTTTTTCCTGTGACGAGCCGATTCCCTCCTGGTTTCCACAGCAACAGCTGAGCATCCTCTCCCCCAGTTATTAGGGCATCGCCCGCCGCGTCCCACAGGAAGCAGCGCACCATGGCGCTGTGACCACCCGTGAGCCTCCTGAGCAGATGAAGCCCCCCACTGTCACATTCCATTAAATGGAGATCCCCACTGTTTGTCCCACCGACCACCAGCAGCTTCTGGGCTTCCTCCAGCCAACGCGCCCCCACGAGGTAATCCACGCCCACCCCGTCGGCCTGTAAAGTGAGGCCGCGAGCGTCGGGCGTGCTGAAGATTGTGAGAGGTTCGTCTGTGTCCAGCTGACTCAGGTCCCACAGGTGCAGCCCCTCGTCGTGGCTGAGGCACAGCAGCTCGTTGTAACCGGCTCCCGACCAGCACACCAAACCCGCCGAGGAGTGGCTGTTACAGGTGACCAGCAGGGCCTCGTCCTCTCCTCCTCGGCTCAGATCGAAAACATTGACCAGGCCATCCGTGGAACCGGACGCCAGGCGATCTTTGTCTGTAGGATGGAAGCATGTCTGCGTGATGTCATCGCTGTGCGACTCGGAATACACCCCGAGAATCCCACCACCGGGTTTTCTAGAATCCCAGAAGACCAAAAAGCTGTCCTCGTCGTTCATTTGCTCCGTGCCGGCGCACAACAGCGTGTCGCTGCAGTTCAGGTCAAAGCTGCAGTAGCAGTAGGACGGATCGCTTTTAAACACCTGGATGGAATCTTTCCCGGGGCAACGGACGTCCCACGCTCGGACTGTGCCGTCAGCAGAGCACGAATAAAGGAGATCGGAGGAGTTGCGGGCGAACATGAGACCGCAAAGAGGCCCGCGATGGCCCCGGTACTTTCCAACTAGGCTCAGAGTTTCCTTGTTGTGAAGACGGATGTTAAAGTCGGAGCAGGATACTGCCAGGAGGCCTGATAGCTGCTGGGCAACATGCAGCAAATAGGTGGGCTCCTCTGGACATGAACGCTGCGCAATCGACAGCCCTTTGAGGGTCTCCTCTAAATCCTCCATGGAAGCTCTGTCTGATGAGATAGGGCCAATCTGTACAGTGAAAGAAATACAAACAAATAGGTTGAATTAACAGCTTGCTGATTAAAATGCAAAACAAGACTTTTTGAAATTGAATATAACAATTGTATAACTACAAAAACATGTTCCCTGCATACATTATCTCTGAAATCTAAAAAGAAAATATTAACGATAGTAAAAAACTAAAACAAACGTCAAAAACAAAATAAATTAATCATCAACTATCATTGATAGTTATTATCAAGTTATCATTATCAAGTACAAATTCTGATTGTTTTACTCAAGTCTCAACTTGTTAATTCGGCACCTTCACAATAGGAACAAAATATATTTTTCCCGATAAAATAAAATAACTAACGGAACAACAAGCACAATACAAGTACTTAATATTCTATTGTGAGTGACAATGTAGGAATGTAGATGTAAAATTAAGAAAAAAACAAAACTTTTGAGCTGAGTGCGAGTGAGATATTTCCCTCGAATAATTATAGCCAAAAACTTCACCTCAACAAGGGTCTTCAGTTGATAACTTTCTCATTTGGTTGTTCAGTTCAACATACCTACTTGCTAATAATTTCCACAAATGTAGGAAAGGATAAGTTTAAATGGAAGCTCCTAATATTTTTCGGTCTGGGTTAGCTTTGCTTCTGTCAACACACTGTAATCTACACTACATAGTAATATGAAATTTTAAGTGGAAACGAGTCCTAAAAACACATACATGTCAAGCAATTCCTGTAAACACGCGGAAAAGACAGTCTGCGTACTGTGTCACAGTATTTTGAGCCCGACTGGAACTCTCTTTTCAGACCTTAGTTCCGCTTCTTTTCGACATTCATTTTCACGTTGAAATGACAAAGTCTTTTTCGGCTTTTTGCACAAATAAATTAATGATCTGCACTCTGTGGTGCCCATTCCTGCAAAATGACTGTGTCCCGTACGCTTAATGAATATTTAAGAATTTCTCTGCGTGGAATATGGCAAAGAAAAAGCCAAAAGACTCAATGTTTCTCTGTAGTCATTGTATTGCTTAGGGTTTACTCGCTGAGAAAATATTGGTTCTACCGTGACTGAACATGCTGTTATACTTAGTGTTACATCATATTTGCTGAAGTTCCATTTTGGCAACGTTTGAACTGCTTTAAAATTCGGCAGAAAAACTATCCTTTATTATTCCTTATCTGATCAACAGATTCTATAATTGTGCGGGTTTCCTCAAATACCAGTAGGCCTAAACATGGGTCACCATGAATGGAAACTATGCATTGTAGAATGAATTGGAAAACCAACACAAAGTGTTATCAGCACCAATTATCGACTTTGTAATGGTAAAACAACCCTCTGAGGTTTTCACAGCATGTTAAACTTTATACCAGAATGTTTTTGAAGTGTTGGATTAGTAAGACTAATTTATGAATATGTTGCAGATCTATATATGATATATAGATATACAGATCTTTATATGATATACAGATATATATATGTTTACTTTACTTGTTTTTTTGCTCATCATCCCTTGCATTTTCTATACCGACCCAACTTTTGTTTTAATAAGGCTGTAGTATAAATATATTGCACATACCCTTCTGTTCTTGTTTTCAAATGGTTCCTTATTGATGGTCAGTACATAAATTACATGTGGACTGAGACTTGGAAAAGTAGAATGTACTTGAGTCCAGTAGGTGGCGGCAGCAGCACTCGTCACACCACTCAAAGCATATTGGGCTGAAACTTGCAAACTGACCTACATCTTACAACCATCCATTTTCTTATTCCCCAATGGGGTCGCAGGGGGACTGGTGCCTAACCCAGTAGTCAATATCCGAGAGGCAGTCCACCCTACATTTGACCTTCTTACATATTTCTCGGAAACATATTCAGTCTAAAAAAGAAGAGTCTTTTACAGGTGCTGAACTGAGACCAGCTGAGAGTAGCAACAACATCAATAAATGCAAATACATTATGGCTCTTTGATAGGTCAGACACATTTGATCCCAAAGGGTACATGGGCTGTTTGGAAAAGACATTCTTGTATGTTTCCTCCTTTTGCTGGTTTCACTTATGCCAGCTTCTTGTTGCCACACGTTGCTTAGACCTTATTATGTTGCTCATACCTTACCCATAACTTTGAGACTTTGAAACATGCTTACTGTTTTCTATGCCTCTACATAGTCTCTTTGTGGATATTTTAAATCAATTTATGGTAATCTTGTATCAGGCTTTACATGGCACTCAGTCATGGGTTGGGTCTTTTTATGGTAATGTCTCTTCTATTTTTTTTTATTGTTGATGATTATTTTGTAGGAATTTGAAGGATATCTTATCAGTAACTTGCCATATAAATTGGATTACTCATAGAGGACACAGATCTCCATGAGTCTCTAATTCAGTGCCTAGATAATCAACCTATTGGAGCATATTTGATAATTCTGTGTATAAGACCTTCACTATATGTTGCTCACTTTATGAGTATATGTCTGAATACGTAAAAAGAAACATTTTGGTGGCTCATTTATGCGTTACAAAACATTCACAGAGAAGGGATCGACTCTCAGTCCCATTGACGCTCATTTTTCAAATAATGAAGCAGAAAGCAAGAGAAAAAGTCTTTAATGTCTGGGCCAGCAGCTGGAGTGTGTCTTCTGCTGCATCTGGGCTGCTTTGGCAAAGTGAAATGGAAAACTTGGTCATCCTCCACACCGCGTCACCATCTGTGAATAGAGTGCAGCTCTGCAGGAGGAACGTTAACACTAAAATGACAGAGTCCTTAAGACTTTCGTGGTCTTTTGTCACATACTACAGGCTCCACAGCATAAGGCATTTCAAACAGTGCATGAGGAGGGCATATGAAATGTATTTGGGACTGTGCAATTGCAGAAAATTTGCGTGAGAATTCATGAAGATTACAAAAACTTGTGCTGCAGGACCGGTTTTATAGTCCCACTCAGTTGTGTAAAAGGATATGTCTACATCAGCAGATTTGAAAAAGTTCAACAGGTGGAGATTCTCTGTGCTGTAAACTAATCAAACATCTAAACATTAGGAGGAAGGAGTTCTATTTCTTAAGAGGCTAATTTGATTAGATTTTTTAAACCTCTCCATACGTTTCAGGATTAGCCTACATATGGTGGAATTCTGTTTGAAAAAAATCAATTTTCTTTACATGTTTAACCACTGAAAGGTCCAGAACATAACACCTGAGAAGAAGCAGTAAATTATGTCGTTATCATTTTTTTTTTATTTCAGTTAATTTCACACAAACAGAAACACATACTTTATTTCAAATCATAGGAAAATATGGAATATAAAATCCTGCAAATACAGTATGTATAAAAGAATACTGTAAAACTGCAATTCTATGTTCAAATCTGCCCAATCAGAACAAGAGTGAACAAGTGAAATCAGGATTTTTGAAGGCTCTGATTATTAAAGGAAGAATTCTAAATCACTTTGTCTTCTAGATTTCCTAAACATGATTTAAGGCATTTTGGAATGAAAACCTGGATTCACAAGAGGAAAAATGCAATTCTAATTGAAATACTTTTGACAAAAGGTAAGCTGATAATATGTTTCCTGCAAGTTTGAGTGAAGGCAGTGAATAAAAAGCAACACCATAGAAACTAAAATATTTTGTTACATTAAAAAGAAACATCTATATATAGCTACAAAGTGCAAAAAGCAGCCCTACAGCACAGGGTGAACCGATACTCTTTCACGAAAACAAGAAAAGAATCAGAAGGTCCTCAAAAATCAGGGCATTAAGGGGAATAGTGGAGAGGATTTTGGCTAACAAAAACTATATGCCACACACTTTAACCTTTTAAATTCTCAAATAGGTCAAGTCAGACAACTCCAACAATCACAATAAAACCAAGTGTTTTAAGTGAGCAGAACCATAAATCCGAAAGAAAGTATATGCAAAATATGCAACTATTTAATTTCCCTGTCAATGAAGCATTAATATGCCATTTTTTAAACAGTCAAAGATCCAAGTATATGCAGTTTGTTATCCATTGTAATTACAATGAACAGCATAGACAATAGCAAGTTATTATTGGGCTACAGCAAGTTACATTTGCAATTTTAGACTTGATCAATATTTCAAAAACCACGGAGCGTGAAATCTAAAAAAAAGTGGTAATTTTTATGGTGTCATGGAGTTTTGTTTAGTCTTAAGTAGCAGTTCCTCAAAAGCTCTCCCTCTAACAGCAGAAACATCATCATAGAAAAGTTTGAACTTTTATTATCAGAATTCAGATCTGCCGTGACTGAAATGTTATTTAGATTAATGTGCACAACATTACACTGCAGCACAAACAGGGACACACATTTGCTGTAACTGGCACAGGGGAAGATATTATGAAGGAATCACTATTGTAGTTGTATGAATTTAGATGTTGTCTGCGGCAGAAACTGAACAATATACAAGATAATAAGTTGGAAAAAATAAGCTGGTTTTGTTTACAGGTAAAGTTAATCTATTAAATTAAGCCATGATGGCACATAGCTGCATGCATGTTGTGGGTGCCTCTGGTTTAAAAGAATGAGGGTGGTTCTCGTTATTTATTTTATAGTCCAAAAATGTATTAACTCAGAAGAAAATAAAACAACAAAACACAACTTTTCCATTTTCTTATGGTGAAAACTATATACATGACAAGAAAATTATGTGCCATACATGCATAAACTAATTCCAAACGGTGTTGTCAAGATGAATAGCCATACAGATTTCTTAATTCTTGAAAATAAAAAAACGTAGTCATTCAATCAAAACCAAGAAAACTTAACGCCAGTCTGCTATCATTCTGTGACTGATTTCATCAACCAAAATATGGCCTATCGATACTAAAGTTTCAATGTCACCCTTTTCTGCCTGGCTCAAAGGAAGAAACAGTGCATTTTGGGAACAGTGCATTCATTTTAAAAGAGTACCATAGAGGCAAGACAAACAACCAAAATAAAAATACAACATTAAAGACAGCTTAGCGGGCCAATTAAGACAAAAAAAAAAACGAATGCTTCCTCTATGATTGAGAAGTGAAATGCACAAGAACGCGGCAGCATGAGAACGCATTACCAGAATTATTCTCAAAAAGGGCACTTAAATACCAGAGGATATGACCACAGATCAATATGCGATTTATCTCTGCTTGTGGCCTCCTTCAACATGGAAAAGCTCAACTTTTCTTCCTTCCCACTCCTTCATTAAGCAAGTGGTCTATTATAGGAGTGGCATCATGATTTGGTTAGACGGTGTTGAGCTTAAAGGGAAGTCTAGTAGAATTTTCAAAAACTCCATCTGCTAAATTGTGTAATCGGTATAATCTTAAAACTAAAGTATGAAAGATTTAAAAATTCAATAACAGCTATCAACAGAATGTAAGCTATCTCGATGGAACATTTCCCAATAATGTTCATAAAATGTTATGTTTTAGAAGAAAAGAGAAAACCATTACAAAAACACAAACAAAACAACAATACATAGGCTATATTTTTTTGCCCTATGTGATGGAGCATATGTGTTTCTGAGTTTCAGAATACTCTTTGAAAAGGCTCATTTTAGCCTTGTGAAGGTGGTCTGTTATACCCTATGGGTCAGCAGCAAATGACCAAAGACCATTAAGAAGAAAGGCCACGTGGTCTGGGCTGTTTCACTGTTTGTGCGGTCAGAATGCAAAAAAAACTGACATTTCCAAACAAATATTGAATACATTACACTTACTATTGCTGTAATTTAAACAAAAGCTTTGCTATTGTTAATTAGACAAGGCTACAATTAAAAAACAATCAATGAAAACGTATTATTTGCCAGAACCTAAAGGAAATCATGGTCCTTTTTTTGCCTGTATGGTTATTTTGTTGATGCTGATATCAGAATGACTAAAAATTATGACCTTTAACCATTAGGGACTGTGGTATTTAAAAAAAAAAAAGTATTCTGTTAATAAAAGCAATTTAAAAAAAACGTGAACCCTCAAGCAAAAACTAAAGTCTACCTTCTTAACTGGTCCATAAAACTAAAACAGTGCATGAAAATCAAATATTGATGGATGTCACAGGGGAAATAAATTCTAACATGAAATGACAATGGTGACACAAACACCCTTGGTCTCATGTTCCAATCCCAACAAGTAGGGCTGAAAACAAAATTTTGTGCAAATTTCTTTATATGGTTGATACTTTTTCCATTATATATTTAAAAAAAAAACACCCTGAGATGAACAGTCCAACGAATAAAAAGAGAGCAAATAGTACTTTTTCTAAACAAAGTATTACTGTCTTACCTCTGAATGTTACAGTATGTGCCCGGTCATTTTTTCCCCCAGCGCCTAATATAAAAAGCATCTAATCTCAAAGCATATGCCAGACATGAACGTGTCTGAATAAGAAAGGAAACAGTGTTCAAAGAAAACACTGCATGCTATTGTTGGCTGGTTACATTTAGTTTTGAGACTGCTTAGGATATGAAGAGAGAAAAAAAGATGGAGTTTATCAGTAGTGACTGACTAACAATCTTATCCCTTGCAAAATCTCTCTCCCATTGTTTTTTCTTTTGCCAATTTGACATAAATGTAGTTGAATACTCTCAAACACATTCAAATATCGGTTTGTCTATTAATCATAATCGTTATATTGCTTGGAGAGTTGAGTGAGAGTTGAGAGATAGCTTCCCGAGAAGCTCAAAGAGCCTTTTGTGCAGAAGATTAGCAAAAATGTACGTCATGTAAACACGTTTCTTTGCCGATATTAATTAGTAATTTTACATTTCTGATCGCATCCCATCAGGCATTTCTCGGTCTGCCACAGGTTGAACTGAAAAAGCTGAGGTCATTGAAAAATGAAACTATTAAATCAGCAGGCCATTCCTGATTCAGTCATGCTCAAAGCTAATCTGAGCAAACAGGACAAAAAAACAAAAAACTATCTGATCAGACGTTTTTAATCCAGATGAGTTCAGGTTTTAATTGACCTTCATTGGTCCCATTGCCATTACCTTTGACCACAAAGGGGATGGTGGACGACGAGAAGTAGCAAGAGGTAAGGAGATAATACCTTTGCGTGTCACTTCACAGTTTTTTCTGGCCACCGGCTAACCGCCCGCCAAAGTTAGCGTCCGCTCAGAGCTGCAAGTAATAGAAGAGCAGCGGGACCAGGAAGAGCACGTTGAACCCAACAGCCCCGTAGACGATGTAGCGGTAGGGTAGCTCCACCTCCATGTGCTGCCGGGCTTTCCTCACGTCGCCGCCGGGCACGCCGGACGCCCAGCACACCAGCGGGATGGTGACGGCCTTCATCAGGGCCCGAGTGGCCACCAGAACCAGCACGCCCAGGATGTGCCGCAGCATGGCCGTGCCCAGGAGGCCGGCGCTGAGGACGGGCATAGTTAAAGGCAGCTGGTTTGGGGTCGGGTCGGGCATCAGGCCCAGGTGGTGGTTGACGTGGGACGCCAGGGCAACGCCGGCGCCGGTGCCCAGGATTTGGGCGGTGTCGCCCCGCGAGGTGCTCCAGGTGTCCAGCGTGAAGGAGAGCAGGCCCAGGCCCAGGTGAAGGGAGATGATGACCAGCGGAGCGTAGCTGCTGGTCAAGTTGAAGTGGTCGATCAGATCCAACGCCGGCAGGAAGAAGAGCAGGATGAGGACGCTGTACAGGAAGCCCGCGATAACGTCCTGAGGGGCAAAAACACGAAAAGAGAAGCAATTATTTTACGTCATTCATATTGTAGAAGCACAAGAGCAAATGCTTATGTCAGGGAGCAGACTGATCTATATAACTGAAGTTTTTGGTAAAAATAAAATTGTTCTTTTAAGCCTAACCCACCCCTACTCTGGACTCAAACATAAAGTTCATCGCTAATGGTCATTTTCTTCTTTTAACTAATGATAAACTCTTCTGGACTGTTTCTCAAATGACTTGTGTGTTTTACTTCCTGCATCTAGTCAGCATCTCAATCATTTCTAGCAAACATTTCACCAAATATTGTGTGGCGAAATTGAAGACAATCCGAAAAGGTGCCCAACAGTGTGTAAGTAACAGCTCACTCAAGGAAGTTTTTCCTTGCCTGTGTCGCCTAGTGCTTGCTCATGGTGGGAATTGTTGGGTTTCTGTAATTAACTTCAGAATAGGGTCTGACCTGCTCCGTTTGGAAAGCGCTGTGAGACAACTGTTGTTGTGATGTGGCGCTATATAAATAAAATTGAATTGAAATTGAATTGAATTTCCATCATTTCACAGGTCCATCTGAGGCCAACTTTTAGAAAAAGTAGGTGCTAAAGAGTCCAACAGAAATATGTTCCTTTGCTTGATTTAACGTCACTAGGCTGCTTTTATAAAAAAGAGAAAATCCAGTTTGAAAATAAAAAAGACAAAAAACCAAGGGGTGAGCAAGGCTCCATAGACATGTTTTCTCGCCAGTATAGATACCATTTAATATGCCACTCCTTTCAAGTGCATTTAACCGAAAGCCTGATAAACAAAACTGATTCAATATCGGGGTCTGCGGTGACTGGTCTGGTGAGCCAGAACTGGTTCCATTTACGAGAAGAGGTTGTGGCCGATTCTTTTCTGAGGAAGCTCAGATGATTCAGTATATTTAGGCAGCTGCAGATCTTCTGTCACTCTGTGGTAGAGAGAGTTGAGAGAGAGTTGAGGTAGATGTATTATTGGTTGGATCAATGAGTTCTTTCATATAAAGCAATTAAGTCATAAACCAGGGAGAGATAGAGGGGTCAATAAAAATGTTTTTTTTTGTTTTTTTCAAAAGCTCTACATCATAGAAATTCTATCCCTCTCCTTCACAACTCACATTTCAGTAATTCTTTTCTAATTTTTTATCAGTTCCGAATACAAATTAAAAAGAAAAGTCTTTCGAACAGCATTCAGTAAACACAAACCCATAGATTCAACATACATAAAAGTCCCAGAGACTGTTTTCTCTAATCCACTGTATGTTATCTTTGTAAGGAGAAATCAATGAAAGCTACTCTCATTTCACACACATTGTCTTTTGGTCATCTCAGTCCACTTCAGCAGCCAGAATGGAGGATAAGGGCAGTCCTTTCTAGTGTAAATGCCTATTTGGCAGCTTAAACGCACTTTTAGGAACATTAAAATGCTGAAGTAACAGTTAATCGTCAACCACTCCTGGGCGAGGACTGCCAGAAAGGAGAGCCTGTCGCCACTTATTGGCTCATCGTTCGGTAGCAACAGCCAACAATCATTTACAAGGCGGTATTTACCTTCAAACAATTTATAAGACTCAGCAGTGAGATAATGGACAGGCAAACCTCTGAGATGGTCATTGTGATTTTTGACTTTATCGCTACAGCTGCAAACTTTTATCAATCCTGTCTTTATTGGGGACAGACGGAAAGCTTTCTTTGACCCGACTGTAATTTCCTCTTCCACTGGTACAAGGAAAGGGAACTTACATATGTGTTTACTGATCTAAAAACAATCTAAAAAAGATCAATACATGATTAATGTAATTGTGAGTGATGCTTGCAAGTTTTAAAATCAATGGTTGGATATTTTGTTTGAAATCCTTACTTATCAGGACCTTATCAGGTCCATGAAAAACAACCTTATCCTCCATGTACAGCACAAATATATATGACTTATTTATACTGTTCCTTAACTACTTAATAGATTTAGATATCAAAATCTATTAAATGATTGTATATCATACCAATTCCTAAGTTCCAGTAAGCACAAATAATGTATTCATGCCTTCAAATTTAAAGTTTTAGATTATATTACCTTGAGGTTTTTCTTGAATATATATTTTTTTTAATCATACATTTTGAAATAAACTTCCAAGTATGTGAGATTGACCAATTTGCACTTTTTTGTTCTAATTTCATTTTGATCAATCCAGTTGTGACAGACTAATCTTCAGTTTATGCAGTACCACATAAGAAAGATTTATAATTTCTGAAACACTCCACTATTGTGCTGTGAGTTCAAACAGTGCCAAAGATTAAGCTAAGATGCAACACTTGTGATGCAAAATGACAAGAGGATAAATAGATATAACAGAAAGAGATTTTTACCATTCTGAATTTTAACATTTTATGAAAAAAAAAACATGATCATCCTTGTATTCTAGCTTTTGAAAACAAATATCTGCACAAATCTAAATGTGTAAATTTGTCAAAAAGAGATTTAAAGAGTGCTTTCAAAGGTTAATGAGGTGTTACACTCGGCTGACTGGCAGGAATACGACCTGAGCTGTCTGCGTAAATTAACCTCTTATTTACAGTACAGTAAATAAGAGATTAATTAACTAAAACAGTAGCTAAATATGCTGTTAATTCATGGTTACCTGTGTCTGGAATGAAAACAAGTAAAAACAAACAAATGGGAAGATTGTAAAAGGGAGACATACAAGTAAGACAATTTACAATATACCTTGGAAAGAGAAAAGGGAAAAAGCAATCACTGTTATTAAGAGCTAAAGAAAAAATATATTTCTATAGGGAGAAGCTGAATGTAAATCCCTGCCTAAAAGAAAAGAGAGAATATTCACAACCATTGATGATATGGATGTAAAAGTCAGGTTAAATGTCAAGGGAAATTACAGTCATTATTTCCACCACAAATCCACAGGTACACAGGTATTTAAACTAAGTCATTTCTCAAAATTAGATGTCGTTATCATTTTCCAAGATGAGTTCAAACCTTTCTTAAGGGAAAAATATATCTAATGTCATGGCCAGCCAGCAGTATAGATTCTCATTCATGGTGAAAACATAGTGGTATAAAATGGTCAATGGCAAGACTCTTGAGAAAAATGCTGTTTTTTTAATGGCAAAAATTAAAGTGGTCATAAAAGCCAGAGGACCTGCAATAGCCTCTGATGATGATTTTCAAAAAAATTATTATTCCGTAACGGTTTCTTCAGAAAATAAATAAACCCATAAATAAAAGGAACATTTTTTACAAAGCCCAGATTGTTTTAACAATTCTAAAAAAAATTGTCAGGGAATTATTTTAAACTTTTGGCCTGTTTTTTTGTTAAGAAAAAAAAAACAGCAACATGGCCATCCTCACTTGTTTGAACTTGCTTTCATAGTTTAGGTTTCATATTTCTGTCACATGACCGATTAAAACTCCTCCATTGCGGTTAAGTACACAAACAAGAAAGCTACTGTGAAAAGAGGACAAAGTTTCGAAGCCCAGGAGAAACCAGAGTGGGCTAATGCTTTGTGTTATGAGGGATACGGATGTAGTTAAGACTTCAAACTGGCACAAACACTGTAACTGTGTGAAGGGGACATAAATCATTCACGAGTCAACCAGATAACACTACAATTTACATGTTACAATATATAAACTGGATTATGATAACTGTGCCTCATGTAAACGTCGTTTACAGATTGTTATATTTAAATGAGGGTTTATAGCTGCAATGTTGCTTAGTTTGTACAAACGGGCACTATAATATAGAGACGTATGCTTCCACCTGCTTGCCTTCCCTCTAAATAAATTAGTAATTAAAGTATAATGTAAATAACATTTAATAAAAATGCAAATACAATTCCGATATACAGTCCAGAGCTGCCTGTAACGTAGTGTAAGAACAGCTTATTGTAAAGTAGCTCCTTCTGTGGAAGCAGAGAGATTTATTTGGCATGATGATTTCCAGAGAACACTAATTGCCCGAAAGGCAAGGCAGAGCAGACCACTAACGACTCACTATGTGTTTAAGATCCACTCCCAGAAACACAACAATCCCGGCAGAGCCTTCGGCCATCAACCAGTTTTATCTTGTGGAAATAAGTTCAGTGCATGTGGACCAACAAACCGACGTGATCGCACATATATTAGCTTCGGGTGTTCGACCCTAATGTTGCGTTTCTGAGATCCGATTTTCCAAAAATCTAATTAGAACACAACTATCATTAACTTTGAACACTGTCACCTTCAAACTCCCAATGTGACAACTAAGGGAATTTTCAAAGTGTCAGTTTGCCTAAAAGCAAGTGGTGTATGTTGTGACCACTCCTGTACTGCTGAAAAATGTTAAGACTGATGGCAAGTGCCAAACCATTATCAAACCCAGATTTAAGATAATGGCCACTATAAATGGATCTTTAATTTATCATTAAACTGACATCAATCAACTGGAAAAAAACAGTCTTGTCAGTAATATAACGTTTCTATAATTGCAGACATTGTATAATCCATCATTATACGGTGAGTAAGAAAAAACATCTCTGTCTCGCAGATTAAATATTTAATCCAGAACCACAGTCAAAAAGAGATAGCAGGGGGATGAGGAAATGGGCAAACTTGAAAGAACACTTTTAAAAAATGTCATTAACATCTGTCAAAAATACTCATAATCTTCAAAAGTGAAAAGATTACTGAGATAATCTGTGCACTGTATCAACAGATGGACTACTATGGGTGGGTATCCTTGGGTCTGTTCTATTTATTCAATGTGATGCAGACTGAGATGCTCCATGTTTACATTTAAAAACACAAAATAATTGTTTTGCTACTTTCTAGATAAGGAATGTTTTACGTGCTTTTGTCTTATTCAATGTAGAGAATGGTCCCACCATTACCCTAAACAGTCTCCTGACATATTTGGTAATATCCGGAGGTGTTTTGACGAGTGTTTGACGGCCTCCAAAGTATGATAACAAATTCACATGTGGGATTGTGGATGTACAGTAAAGGGTTCAGGGGGAGGACAGCTTTAACAACAGTTAAGTTAGTAAAGAGTGTTAGGGAAATCAATATATGTAGAATCACTTAATATTTCTCTGGTAACTTTCCACAATTGAAGATTTTAAAGGTTCTTTCCTCCTTCAAGGTCTCAGAGAAGCTCCCTTCATATTTTGTCAAACAATCTTTTGTCTCGAGGATTGTTTAATACAGATGCAGGAGGAAGGACAGACATTACGTCTCATTTTAGAATGAAGGACAGACTTTATGTCTTATTGCAGACTCAGAGGGGTATAAAATGCACCATGATTTGTTTTACTTTAGGGCAGCTTGGTACGTCATATGAACCACTTGTATGGTTGTGCTGGCTGCTCTCACTTCATGAAGTTTTCCCTTTCCCTTTTTTCCCCCCTTTTAATAAAATTCTATTTCTTACTTCCTCAGATGGACTCAGACTTTTGCTTTAAAATAAAATTTCCACAACAAGAGCAGAGCAACTGCCAAATTATCATTTGATAGCTTTAAATATTACATTAATAGTATTAAACATTTTCTAGTTCTCAGCATTACTGTGTGCACAGCAGCTGTTCTTGTTTAGCACAATTGAAAGAATGTGTATTAGCACAATAAACTATTGGAAGATGTTCCCACTCTGGAGACAGTTTTCAAAAGTTATGCTGGGAACAATTGATGGCCGCCCACCCTGAGCCATGGTTCTGCTCAAGGTTTCTGCCTGTTAAAAGGAAGTTTTTCCTTGCCTGTGTCGCCTAGTGCTTGCTCATGGTGGGAATTGTTGGGTTTCTGTAGTTAACTTCAGAGTAGGGTCTGACCTGCTCTGTTTGGAAAGCGCTGTGAGACCACTGTTGTTGTGATGTGGCGCTATATAAATAAAATTGAATTGAATTGAATATCCAAAAACTTTGAAAAAAACAAAAACTGTGAAAAAACACTAAAAAACCAAACAAAACAGTTTCTCTTTAACTAAATAGATCGACCACTTTTCAAAATCCAGATCCAATTCTCAACAATTATGTCCTGAAAATATAGGTATCTATATAGTTTCACATAATATTCCAACTGTTTTAATCTGTTCCAAACTGCATTTTGGAGTGTTTTTGGGGGTGGATTTATATAAGAATGCACATCACCACATTAGACTTACTGCACAGCTGAACATTCAATTTTACATGTTTAAACTAGAAAAAGTCTTTCTAACCCAATAAAGTGAATACAAAAAGAATTTCCCTGAAGAGTTAGTGTCGAAAAGTGCCTAATATAATGAAGAAGCCTTTTTATTTAAAAAGACTTATGTCAATAATGGCTGCGGTGCTTCTGTGTGTGGAATGCTATTAAATCCAGTTTATTACGCATACAAGGAAATTAAAGTCTCTTTTAAGACCAACAGGATTATTAAGGTGTTTATTAAAACTTGCACTTTGTGCACAGAAATTTAGTTTTACTGAGCCCACAGTAAACTGTTGAACTTTGATAAAACATGAAGCTATACGTATGTGTGGTTCTTGCGGTGGAGGTCTTAACCATGACACCATCAACAGGCACCCTCAAAAAAACCCTTTAAAAAAAGTCTATGGTGTGGAATTATCTTCCAAGTTTGTTTGGGAGGGCAGCCAGCATGCTGTAATGTCTGGTGGTTTCCAAACAACGATTCGTCACAGGCAAAACCATGACTATTGGTTTGGGCCCAACTCTGGGTGGACTCTACAACATTCATCAGTAAACAATGAAAGAAATCAATATGGAGCAAATGTTATTTGTTATCTATATTTGACCAAATAATGTACAATCAAGCATGGTAAGATTTAGAAATATTAGCCAAATGTTTCTGGGGTTTTTTAATGGACTGGCAACCCATTCAGGGATTACACTTCCATTTACCCTAGAGCTGCTGGGATAGGTTCCTAAGATACATACACAAACTCTCAGTCAAGTTAGATTAGGTCTATAATTACTGCATTCAATAAGGAAGCAACTAAATGATGTGCAAGCATGTTTTGACATGGATAAATATTCCCCTCAAGTTTTCCTGACAATAATTGTCACCCTTCGTGATTTGAGGCATAGACAATATTAAGCACAGACAGATACAGGTCCAAGCATGCTGGTGGAACAGAAGCTGTTTGAGATTAGCAGAGATGTGCAAGTAGAATGCAGGATCGGTTCGCACCAACACAAAAGAAATTCAAAAGACACCAATGATTCAACATTTTTTTTAAATGCACAGTCCACAAACCACAATTCTTTTGGTTGACCATCATGGCATTCTAAGAAGATTTCCTCAGATAACTTTGAATTTATAAAAGTGAGTAAATGACATGGACAACAAAGGGGTTCATCTGTCAGATGATGTTATTACAACAAGGTTTTTCCATATTCTAAACCATTCCAAAATAAGGCTTTGTTTACTGTAAACTGTTGGAATCTATTCATACGTGAACTGCCCCTAAACCCTCATATAGTATGAGGTCTGAATGGGTTAACATGGAAAAACTATTGTGTGCAGGCTAAAGTTCAGATTACAGCACCCGCAGGAAGGTTTCCCGTTACACATCACAACTATACACAACATACAGCAAAGATATTCTGAAGGGTACTTCCATTCAGAAAAAAAATGTGCTGCTTATTGTTCTCCAACTTGAATGTTTGAGCTTTGTGGCTGACAGTGCTTTTTATTATCACCTGCGGAAGGAGTTTAACCTTTGCTTATCTTTACCCATGAGAGACTAAGAGTTTAACACGTACACAAAAGCAGAACTGTGTGACAGCGACAAGTGTAAGATTGTAATGGGAGGTTTTCAGCATAAACAAAGAATGGACTTCAGTAACACTGAGGTCATTTTTCAATAGGCATACTTGTCTGAAACTTGTTAAATATCCTCATGTGAGGCACAAGTACTGTTCCAATTTAAAGAGTGCATTAAAACAAGTATGTTCCAGGGTGTAAACATGCTCCCCCAATTGTATCAAGGATGCTTCTAAGGTGACTTGTGTTAACTTCAGAAAGCCGACTATACCAGAATACACTGAGACACGAACAAAGAGTGAGAAAACACATAACTGTAATTATCTGGTTGAAAATGTTTCTATCATTTCAGGTAACTTGGGCGTATAGTTTGTACATTTTTGAGTTTTTTTCTTTATTTTTTTTGCAGTATCGCTAACATAATTAAGTATGCTTCTGTTCCAAATGCAAAGTGAGTGTACTTGCATCCTTCCATCCTCAGAAGTTGGTACTTCCGACAAGTCCTAATTAGTAAGTACACAAGTACGTTCTAAGCATCCTTGGTATTGTAAAACGTCCAGAAAAACTGTTTTTTATGATTATGGAATTCTGAATGAAGCAAAGTCTTCAATGTCCGATGAAAAAAATGGAACACAATTAATTAAATTTGAAAAAAAAATGTGATGAATCTATATCCTCGAATTTGTAATGGTTTAAGCTGCTGAGGACTTCTAGAATTTGTATTTACATCGCTAAACAATGAGGTGGAACTCTTTAAGATTAGCAACGTTATGGAAATTTCCGGTATTTCTCTGCTTGAGCCAATAGTTTCACGTCGCGTTTTCATACATCCTAATGACAAACATATCAACAGTTACTCTAACTGCTTCCAGATCTACTTTGAATAATTTGGTGTTATTTTTGTCATTCATATCGACAGCACATGCAAATCAAACACAAATTTTGTTCATAAAAGATTTGAAGAAAATCATATGAAATAAAAAAAAAATGGAGACAACTTCAAACATGACTTAAGAAAGTGTAGTTACACATTCATTTTTGGCAAACTTGTAAAAAAAATGATCATCCGTTTTTAACATGACCAGATCTATTATATGTACACATGTATTACATATGTATCTTTTCTAAATGTATCAAATTATTTATTTGGAAACTTATTCACAAAACTTAAATTTATGAATAAGCTATCATTTTCTGATTGTTCAGTTACACAGGACCCAGTTCTGGAGCCACTATGGCTGACGGTCAGATACTTTTTCACTGCCCGCTGGGTATCGTATTCAAAAGGATGAAGTTTGGCGTGAAGTTTGCATTACAGGTGGTCAGACTGTGTATGAGACAGAAGGGACACTTACCAAAACCGAGTGCATTCCCATGTAGATTCGACTGGTACAGACCAGCAGACACCAGCAGAGAGCCAAGCTGAAGCCCAGTGCAGACGGGTACTGTGAGGGTGAAAGGAGATCGATTTCAACCAAAAACATACAGTTTGCTTCTAAGCCTGCAGCATCGGGAGAAAATCTAACAGCATGTGATCTTAACCAAGAAAAGATAATGACTAAAATCAGTAAAAGAAACAAAAAAAACTAACAGAAATGAAAAAGTTTAAACATTTTAAGTGTTAATTTAACTCCCCACACCTTAAATAAAAGAAACCAAACAGCAAAAATACAGATCCATTGTAAAACTATCACAAAACAGAGGCGCTATATTTATTGCATCAAGCTGCCAAGTTTTCATCAATCTTTCATCTCTATACTCTATATATAATCTTTAATCTATATAAAATACTCTATAATGGACATTATGATTTATTACTATCATTATGTGTTGGTTAATAAGTCTGCATCAAAGCTAACGTGTCAAATTCCAGGAGGTTTATTGTTCAGTACAAGAAGATAATATAATAAGATAATAATGTCCTAATTTTCAGTCAGAATTCTTCATTCATTATCTGACCCACTTTGCCTCTTTTTAAATGTTGACACAAATGTTTTTAAATAAAACCATGCTAGAAATAATCTATTAGAAAACACAATATTTCAAATAGATATAAAAGTTGTTATTTTATTAATTCAGTAAATCTTTAGCTTTTGAAGAACTAAAAAGTTAAAGGACAGAAAAGACAGAAGCTGGGTTAATACTACATTTTGAGGTTGACACAGATTATTTTCTCCTTCATGTGACTCAGATTATTTGACTTCCAATATCTAAGCCCCGAAAAGCAGCAAGGAGTAACTGTTATAAACTGAGTCACATGAATGCATATCTTAAAATCTACTTTTAAAAGGCATCATATTTCACCATTAACCATACACACATATAATTATGTCAACCTATATATAAATATATGTAACGGAACTCAATAAAAATCGTTATCTTTTCACACCAGTCCAGAGAATGTTTACGTTGGGCAACAAGAGCACAAGGAGCACGTTGTGTAGTCAGTGATGCCAACTATTGACTCATGGGGGTGTTACACAACTATAACAGTGATAAAAAGTTCACAGAGTTTATGAATATAGTGAAAAGTGGTGTCATTTCTTTTAAATAAGTCTTGTTTATGAATCCAACCCATGCCATTATATAAAATGTGATTTTCATGTCAGATAGAAACTTTTTTTTATTTATTTAATTTCTAGAAAGACTTTGAGGTCTGAAACAGTGGCACTGGCTTTACATTTAACATCAGTAAATCTGCATACTAAGTCTATGCAAAAAATACTTCTGTAAAATAGCCAAAATAAACAAAATTTGAATGCAAAGACACCAACATCCCAAAGGGCATGGACTGTTGAATAATCTACTCAATGCTCATACACATACCATAAAATGTTGGGTGGATGACACAATATAGTGAACACAACCTCATCCAGCAACATTTATTATGAATCTGACAATTATCAGTTTTTTCTGATGACATGGTTTTGTACTATTCTGAACAACTGCTTAATTTTGTAATAATTAAGAAGGATTAGAAGGACTTTATAATGAGAAGAGACAGTAAAAGTAAAAGTAAACAAAAGTAAAAGCAGTAAAAGAGACCAAATAAAAGGATGAGCAACAACTCTTTGCACAATAACCTAAAGTCTATTGGTCATGTGACTGTCTTAAACCAAATCTGAATTATAAATCAAACACGATATCAGCAGCTCCCAGCTCTCAGGCCTTCAGAGTGAAATTATTAACTCATTTCATATGGAGGCAGACTGAAAAGAGGAAAAACAGTTGACAATGATAACTAACATCAGGAGACATGACTTCTTAAATAAAATGCAGCTTCTCTGATAACTAAGGGGAAGAGCGTAGAAAAGGTGATAAACTCCTTCATGCTTCAGGAAAAGCAGCAGCGTTCCCATATAATGCCCCTGCTCAAATGAGGAAGTCTCACACAAAGACTCTTTAACATGTTGTTTTTCTTTTTTTCTTCTATTTGTCTGGCTCAGCTGGAAAACATAATGCCACATGAGTGCCAACAACCCACAAACCAACTCTTATCTCCTTTATCTACTGGTCTTGTAGCTGCCTCCATAACCCTTTCTCTTTGCTCCGGTTTTCAGATGCTCTAAAAGCTATTTTAGAAGCTATTCTTTTATGGAGGTTAAGATTTTTCACTTCTCGTTGTACTGTGTAAATCTCCACTTCCTCAGCCTTAACATATTGTCCCCATTTCCCTGACTAATCTTTTCTCTGACTTTCTTTTACTTCCTCCTGTCCTGCCTTCTGGAACTCCTCATTTCTGTCCCGTTTTCTTGTTCACTGCCTCACTACACTGGAACTAGCGTCATATACGGAGAAACATCTGGCTTGTGTTACTGAGGGCTGCTAAAGGGTGGAGGGATGGAAGTACAGCCTCACTGCAGCCCATTTAAATCCAAACATTCCTGCTTTGCTCAGACAAGTCAGTTGGGGCAGAAAGTCAGCAGGAAGCCCCTACAAAGCAAGAACAAGTACAATGGGAGGCAAAGTACAAACCCTTCCTATTCGTTGCACACGCTTCACATCCTCCTTGGTTGCAAAAGAGGAACAGAATTCTCAAGCTTACTTTTGAGTCATATGACAGTTAAAAAATGACAATAAAAGGGAAAAGGTCATCAAAACACCATCCATTTTTCATACCGGCTGAATCAGCTGGGTTCGTTCTTTCCTAAGGTCAATCACTAATTAACCTAAAATGCATTTCTTTTGACCATGAGAGGAAGCTGGAATGCCAGAGGGGTGAACCCGCAAATACATGGGTCAACAGAGAAATTTCCCAGGCCCCAAAAACTGGGAACTTTCTTTCTTGCATTTTAAGCACAACACCACTGCCCACAGAAAAGCTAACTACATGCAAAATTGCATGTAAATGTACACTGCTCTGTTGACACGTGATGCATCATTAAAAACCTGACGAGGAAAGCATGTGTAAGACTTAACACGTGACAGCATCTGAAACACATCTGTATGATCCGTCTCATATAAAATAAAAATAGTTCTGGTATTAGGAAGAAAAAGACATTAAATATGCTGTCTAATTTGTAAAAAATGCCTGAAAGGGAAACATATTCACTCTTTTTATAAACTGATTTTGCTAACAGGTTTTAGTAGACAACCCTGGCCATCCTCTTCATGAAACTGTAATTAGAAAACAGAATTTCTTCAGTCAGAGGCTTCTTCAGATTGGTTGTAAAAACAGACCCCTACAGAAGATCTTTCCTGCCCTCGGCCTTCACAATCTATAACAACTCCTTAACTAAATTATTTACATCAACATTTAATTTCCCTCCGGGATAAATAAAGTATTTTCTAATTGAATTCAACTGTTGTAGTAGCAATCAATTTAGCACAGATGCTGATTTAGCAGTTGAACTCCTGGTTTGGATCGTAACTCACTGGTCGGTTATGCAAATGCAGAGCACCACCTCGCCACGGGGGTACCCCAGGGTTCAGCACTCGGACCTCTGCTTTTTGCCATTTACCCCACATCACGGGGCAAAATCCTTTAATCGCGTGGTTTCTCATTGCTTCTCACTGCTATGAAAACCCAGCTCTATCCGTCTTTCCCACCTGATGACCACCCTGTCTCAGCATTTATCTCTGACCGTCTCTCTCACACATCCAAATAGATTAAACTATAAGATCCAACTAAATCTCTCTAAAACTGAACTGTTGGTCTTCCCAGCCAACCCAACCATACGACACGGTATTGGCTGAACTGAGGCTCTATCTACTGCTCTATCAAAGGTAGCTAGAAACTCCGGTGTCATGATTGGCAAACAGCTGACCTTTAAAGATCACGTTACCTCTGTTGCTCGACGGTGTCGCTTTGCATTACTCAACATAAGAAAGATCAGGCTGTACCTAACCCAACACGCCACTTGTCCACCAAACCTGTGCTGTGAAATTTCTGCAGATAGCGAGGAGTGTGTCAGCGTGTCTGGTCGAGCCGATACAAATCCCAACTCAATCAAATTCAACTCACAGATGTGAGCCTACAAAGTGTTCAAGGGTACTTTCCCCATCTAATTGAATACTCTGACAAATGCTTATGCCAAACCTCAGTCACTCCGGTCATCAAAGGACTGTCATCTAGCAGTGGCTACACCAAGCTTAAGAAAATCCAGACTCTTTTCAGATTTCATTCCATGAGGGTGGATGACCCACCGAGCACTACAAGAACTGTTTATCTTTGTGCAACTCTTGAAGACCCAGTTATTACGAGCATTTCCAACACTGATACTTACCCTGTACCTCCCAACCCACTCTACTGCGATTTCTCTATCTGTATCTCCCTCTACCTCCACACTGTCACCACCGTCACCTGACTAGTGATTTCCCTTTATGTAGCTTATTGTTGGTTCACTTTATGGTTCAAGTGAGAACCATGATGGTCCAAGTGAGAACCATAATGGTTCATGTGAGAATGCATGTGTGGGTCAATGCATTTGAACAGTATTTTGATTTGTAATTAATATCCTTACTGTGTAAGAAAATCCCTGATTGCATATAAGTCCTACCATTGGTTTAAATGAATATGGTTACATTCAGAAGACAATGTAATGACTGTTTATGCAAAATTACATAACATTCAGAGGGAAGTCTGTGCATTAGCGATTTATGTCTGGGTCCTTAACTATTAGCTTCACAACCATCGCACATGCCACTGGGGCTGTGAGGTGCAGAAATGTTCATTGGTGTGTGCCGCTTTAGTCTGACTGTAAGGTGTCTGAATTCATTGCTGTTCAGCAAGTAGCAGAGAGGATGGGCACCCGATCAGCAGCTGCCAAGAACATAACGCCAGGCGTGGGAGATCATTTTGCTCCTTATAACGTAATCTGGTGTAACAAAATACAATTACATTGTGGCTAGAGGTTGAAAACAGGGGTAAAAGATTAATGAAAAAAGTAGTTTCTGATGTGGAAAGTACCTCTCTTTCCCGATAGTGTACCTGCCACATAATCAGTTTGACATATATAAACTTAAATTCCCATTCAAAACACTACTTAAGTTTGAATGAGAATGTTTGAATGAGAATGTTCACAACACAATGGCTGCCCTTTTCAGGAAATATGAGAAGATTTAATTAAATAATAGACTTGTAAACTGAAGATTTTCTTCTTTTTTTAACAGTAAACACTAAATGTAATTTGATGACTGCATTTTTGTTTTAATTTCTGGTAAAGGAAGGGCTTAAATTTGATAGCTGGCCAAACCTTCAAGATGTCAAAGGCAACTTTCCTGTATACCTCAAAACAAATTAGGAGGAAGTAAGTCCACCTTCTGCTTATTTGTGTTTTTCAACAGCCTCACAGCGAGTTGGTGGGTGTGTTTTTTTGTTTTTTTTACCTCCCAGCGGCCGTAGGTCATGAAGAACAAGGAGAAAGGGATGGCAGTCCCCGACATGGCGTGTGTAGAAGGCATGCTATATTCTGAATTATAAAACATCTCCACTTTGACCACAGGTGGAGAAGCGGGTCGTGCCCAGCCGATGACATCTTTAGTGCACTGCCCCAAGTACATCACCCAAACCCACACCATAATCAGCCGGCGGCTGACGAACGGGTCCACGTTCCACATGATGAAGGGGAAGAAAATGATGTAAAATAACTCGTTGCCCAACTCCGTTCCAAACGTGAACAAGTAGTACAGCAGCCTGTTCTCGATCACGAACTCCTGTCCCGCGTCCCCGGTTAGAGAATTTCTGCGGAGGGGTTTTACGGTGCTGCCCCGACCGTGACACGAGACGTGGCCGTCCTCCGAGCCCGACGACCCGGGTACGTCCGACCCAACGACGGGGGCACCGACCGTTTCTCCGCCGGCGGTCGCAATTGAACCATTCAGCAAGGCGTTTTCGCGGTCGTGTTTGACGCATTTCGCCTCGTTTAGATCCGCAATCCTTCTCCGAACTTCTCGTTCCGTCGTCGGGACTTTCTCCCCTTCCCCGGCTCCCATAACGGCCACGTTCTCCCTCCGGGTTTCCCCGGTGACATGGTGATGGCAAGCCCCGTTGTTGTGCGTGCGAGTGCGGTCCGCCGCCTTGACACCGTCGGAGGTTGAACCGCCGGCGGAGGTAGTTCTCGAAAACGTCCCTCGCACCCCGCAAATGTACTGAAAGCGTGCGACCATGTGAGGGTCTTGAAGATAGATGAGCTGTTCCTTAATCTTCTCCATGCTTTAAACGGGTTGAACGACTCCCAGGCTGCCGCAAGTAAGAACACGGACTTTGCTTCTAGCAGTGAAGGCTAGCTTGCGAGCTAACATTGGCGAGCTATCACACATGCATCTTTGCCGAGTGGAGCTCAGAGGTGAACCCTGAGCGGTTTGTAATTGAAAAAGTTCTCATGGCAACTTGTTTTGAAATTTGCAAATGCTGTTCTCATTTAAACCGTAACGACAAACTGACTGAACAGCAATATCCCTGCACAAGTAAAAAACCTGCTCACGGTCCTAGCTCTGATATCAACAATTGCACTGACAGGAGAAGTAAGGGGTTCGAGGCGAGCGTGCGACGTTGCCTTCATGTTCTGTCGGAAATTTTAAGACGCTTCTTCTTCTTCTTCGATCGATGCTGGTTAACAACTAGCTTACAATATTATCATCGCCACCATGAGTTCAGCTTCTTACTCAGACATTTGAAAATGTTTATGCAGAGATTCTTTAGAATAAACTTTTTCGTTTTAACTTCTTTTCTCTCCGTATTTAAACTACTCGTGGTTACAACAGTGGCTCCCACAATAAAGTTTAATTCCTTCTCCCCCTCTTTCCACTTCCAATAATGTAGACATGTTCCATAAATTACACTGCAAAAACTTAGGAGAGGCTCATTAGAATACATCTAATTTTGGTCTAAGCATGTGAGGGAGTTAAAGACAGCCCCTCACTTGATGTTTTGAACTTGCTTTTAATTACTCTCTGTCTCTCTCTTTCTCTCTCTCTCTGAGTTCACTTGGAGAACAGCAATCATGGAGGCATGCCCATGACTTTGCTAATAAGGGCCTGGTTAGGCTAATTGGCTGGACAGCATTTACCAAGTGGCCTGAGGAGAGAGGGGGGGTTTGGTTTAATAAGTTTGTTTATTTTTTGTTGTTGTTATTTTAAGGAAGAGTAAAATGGAAGTGCTCGTACCACTAAGTATGTTGTGAGTCTGTTTATACAATGGCTGGGTGAAAACTGTATACTTTGAATATGGATGTCTTGTTTGTGATGAAGGGCTCCTGTAATGTGAACTGGATGTGCATGACCCATAGTGGTTTAAATGTGAAGATGAAGATTTTGTTTTTGGTGGTATCAAAAGTGTTTCTGTGTCCACCTGATTGGACGCTGCCATTTTGACACAGGCGTAAGGCTATTTTTTTTTAGGAGAAACCCAACCCAATTCAAGCACAATTAATTTCCACTGTTTAATTGTCAAACTGATCTTTTTTTTTCTGTTCCAAATTGGTCATTTTGGTATGCAAGACTTTTTTAAAAATCCTTAATGTCTGAACCATAATAAACCCTCAAATATTGGATTTCAGATGTTAATTTTTGTAGTGGATTTTTCTGTACATAAGTGTAAAAAGCTTTACTTTCACCACAATCTACCGGTATCGCATTATTTGTTTCACCCGGGTTGACTTCTGGACTTCGAATTGCGAGGGTTTGCAATAAACTGATACCAATAAGCTATATATTTCATGTGTGCTTGGAAATATTTTTACTGCTGTTTGACCCAGTTTCAGCATAGCTTTATCTGCCAGACACGTTTGATTGCAGAACACTTTTTTTTATCGAGCAACCTTTCCAAATTCATGAACTTTAACCCTTAGATAGTAACTGAGGTTTGTAGTGTCTGCAATGTAGATCCTGAATGTTTTTTGCAGACTGGGGTGAACGTGCCGAGGTTCCTCCACCTGGAAACATTTTACATGTACTGATATATCGGTGTAAACTTTCCAGATTGACAGACTTCAAACATAATATTTCAGAATTGTTGCTGAAGATGTTCGTTTGTAAATGTGTTGACGTACAACTAACCAAACAAGTCATTGCTCCCATTCAACACACTGACTAAACCTCTGATCATTTAATCTTACTTTTGGGTCTACATGAGTTTTTCTAACACGCTACTTTTCCATTTCACTTTTAACATTTAACATTGATGTTAAATGAAACAATGTTGTTGTTCAACTGAGGTTGCAGTTGCATTTTAAAAACCTGGTAATTTTTTATATCCTTTCTAGAATCTTTGAAGCTTTGAAACTGTGTCTTTCTTTACCACATGGCTTTATGTAGTTTAACATCAATCTTTTAATAAGGAAGAACACATTCACAAAATAAAAGATCACGTTGTTTAATTTTACAGCGACGGTGGCGGGCATTTGACCACAACAGTGGTTGAAGACTATTTCTAAGGCTATCAAATATAAAGATCCCTTTCAATAGCTGGTTTAAGTTAATCATTAATATATATGTATTATCAAATTAAGATATAATTGTTTGTTAAAATGCAGTCAAAATGATCAAGATTCACATTTTATGATTCAGTGAAAATTCTAAAGACTAAACACTCTACACATAAAAGAGAGATAATGACAAAAAATAAGACCTTTTACATTTGTCATACAGCACATTAAACAGAACCATGGTGCCACAACAACAAATATCTGACTTGACAGTCTTTGCTTAAGTCTTTGCTTTGGGAAAATACTTTTGATTAGAGATAATAGTGAAAGAACATACATTTTTTGCAAGATAATCTCCACTTTAAAAATAAATTGTAACACAGAAGGTCTGAAAATTTCTCATTAAACAAAAGTGGATGACAAAAAAAAAACTCATACAAGAGACAAGTTTAATGTCTAAATTGAATGAGAAAGCAATGTTGTCACTAACAAATTATATTAATGCAGGCTCTAATTATTTAACTCATGCAGCGATGAAAAAATAGACATATATATATATATATATTACTAATGCCTTTTATTTAAGTTGGCAACAATTCTAATTTATCTAAGAATTATGCTTTTATAATTTAAATTTTTGGATCTCTCATTTTTTAATGCCATATTGTATTTAAATATGCCGTATACGCTATAAATGCTTATTTGGAATGTGTTTGAAATTGCAACACTATTTTCTCTTATTCAACAATCACCTCAACTAATTTTGGCACAAGACACAAAGATTAAATATTAATCCGTTTCCAGTAGAGGGTAGCAAAGTGTTAAGAGATGTGCAGAAAGACACACTCTTCCCCAAAAGCAGAAAACAAACAGGAGGGAATGACAGTCGTTGGCTCTTCATTGCATTCAAATTCACTGGAAATGTGACACAATGAATTTCATGAATAATACAGTAGCATGAAATCACAACAGAATCAGTTAATATTCTCACGTTAAGTTAAGGTGCATCAAAAGCAGCCTGTTAAATCCCTGATAATGCTCACAGTTCACCTGAGCAATAAAATAATTAAATAAAAGAAAACAGAGAAATAACAGCAAGAAAAAAAAAAAGATAAAAAGCTTAAAGTTCTTTACAATCATCAGTGATGTGGCACCAGAGCAGGACATATCATCAGTGGATATTCTGTTTATTCCCAGCCACGAGAAGAATCAGGCTTTTTAAGCCTCTCAAATCCTTAGCCAACCCTTTTGGTGAGGTGACAAGAAGAGGTGATATCCTTGGGATCCATAAACCCGTAAAGGAATGGGAAATAGCAATGTTCTTCTTGACCGATTCAGAGAATGACGCTGTATTTCTCCACTTTGATAAGAGATTTTTGCCATCAGCCATGGTCGTCTAGGTTACACAGAAGTACGGGGTGGTTTTGGTTGAGTCCCGGACAGGTATGCAGGGTGTACACATCGTCAACTGATGGGTAATATGGCACCAGCTGGTAACATTGCAGCTTTTCTAGATGAAACGCTTGAGAGCAGTAGTCTGTCACCAGCATTTTTACCCTCTTCCTGTCTGGATACACAAGTCTCTGCTGCTGCCCTCCCCCAATATCATCCGCGTCCTCTTCTTCTTCTATTTCATCTTCTTCTTCCTCTTCCTCCAGTTCCTCCTCCTCATGGTGGATCTTTCTCAGCAGGTTGTTAATGAGGACAGAGCGCCTCAGGTAAGTCTCTGGGTCCTCCAGGAACCTAAGCTTCTCCAGAGATAGCTTCAGGATGCAGCTCCGGTCTTCTTGTAGTATCAAGTGCTATAAGGGGTGAAAGAACAAGACATTATGTCAGCATTTGCATGTGTCAATGTTGTGCAGAAAAAGCCTGAAAAAGATGTGAGTTGACACAGATTGGGTATGTAATCTTTAACTATATTATAAATTGTGAAAAAGACTCAAAACGTAATGCGCTTTGCATGATTTTCATGTCAAGAATTTAGACTCCTCTTGTAAAAAAAATGTATTTTGGACTGCAACAAATTTTGCTTGTAGCGTTTCAAGGTGAAAAATCTTTTTTGTGGCTAAAAGCATTGGTAGATTCTTGGATTTTTCTATAAAGCTGAAGGACATCTGATAAAGAACCAAATCAATATTGGAAATGAATGGTGAAGGTTAGATAAATGAATGCGTTTCAATGAAATGATAATGCAAATGGAGTCTGGTATCACTTGAAAATCATATTCAATAAAGCAGAAGTTAAACCAAACAAAATTTATATTCAGTATTAAAACATTCCGGTACTTTTTGAAAATATCCATGTAGGCCTCCGTGCAGATCCTTCTCTTCCGCATATTTTCTCTTAAAGTAAGCAACTTTCGACGTTGTTGAATGGTTTGGTTTCTTTCGCTGGGAAGCAGCTGTAGGGAAACATAGACTAGATGTTAGACCAATAATTCAATTCAATTCAATTCAATTTTATTTACAGTATATAGCGCCACATCAAAACAATAGTTGTCTCACAGCGCTTTCCAAACAGAGCAGGTCAGACCCTACTCTGAAGTTAATTACAGAAACCTAACAATTCCCACCATGAGCAAGCACTAGGCGGCACAGGCAAGGAAAAACTTCCTTTTAACAGGCAGAAACCTCGAACCTAATCACAATAAAGTAAAGGGTAGGGGAGAATGCTTCAATGTCAAAACCCATGTAAGAGCCCCATGGCACCATTACAAAATGCTGAAATGTTTTTTTTTTACATATGAAGACACATCCGAAGTACCAACTAGTTTCAAATCAAGGAAAAAATAATTCAATGAATGACTTCAAAGGTTTAGCCCATAGTCCACTGTTGTCACGTCTGGTGTCTCGTCATGTCATGATTACCTATTGTGTACACCTGGGGTTCCCCTCCCTCGTGTGTTAAATAGTCCTGTTTCCCCTTGTCTGGCGCGAGTGCGTTTTCGTCTTTTGTCCGTCGTCTCCCCCACGCCAGGTTTGTTTTGCCATAGTCTTTGTTTTCGTCATAGTTCTGCCATAGTCACAGTTTTGCCACAGTTTTGTCAATCGTTATTTTGTTACTTTACCCAGCCTTGTTTGCTCATTGCTTTGTTACTTTGATCACAGTTTTCCACGGCTTTGCTTTGTACTTTGTCTGGACATTCACTCTGTTTTTTTGTGCAATAAACCTTGTTCCCCTCATTCCGCGACTGAGTCCTCCCTCAAGAACCCGCCCTGACAACTGTGTTCCTTGTAGGACAAACTTTAAAGTATTTCTCTGTTGAATAACAGTTTTATCATTTTGCTCATCATTACTACCTGTCAATTGGCCAAGACACAGACATGCAAAAAGCTGACACCCTGTCAGAAAGATTCAGAAAAATTAGAGAGGTGTGACTTGCTTTTTTTCTGCCACAGTTTGCTCCCCTTAACCTATCAGTTTGTCTTTTTATGGTTATCAATTTGAAATAACTCATTCATATCAGCCTGTCATTCAGGTAATTTTGTGTATGTTGTTATTAGTAACATCGTAATTCTGTGTTTCTTGATTTACAATAATCATTTTGTTTTACTTTATAGCAAATTTTGGTGCTTTGATTTTGGTCTATTAAACCATTTCTTTTCAGTTCAGTTTGCATCTAAGCTGTATCTTGTTTGTATCTTGTTTCTTTTAAACAAATTCCTTTTTTATCTCTTCAGTCTTGTTTGTATTTTGTGTTTATAATGTTCTTTCAAGGGCCGCATGGGGGTTCCCGATTTGGAGTCCCCGGAGGAACCTTGACCTTTCTGTGTGGAGTTTGCATGTTCTCCCTGTGTCTGCGTGGGTTCTCGACAAATACTCCGGCTTCCTCCCACTGTCCAAAAACCTGCATGTTAGGTTAACTGGACACTCAAAATTGCCCCCAGGAGGAAATGAAAGTGTCTGTAGTTGTTTGTCGCTATGTGGCCCTCTCGCCTGTTATCAGCTGGGATAGGCTACAAGGGGTATGGAAAATGGATGGATGGATGTTCTTTCTAATATGATTTATCTGTTATTAGAATTATACATTATCATTAGGATTATCAATGGTTTATTTAGTTGACTATATGAGTATTGATCATCTGTACTTTTTAATATATAACTTTAACTGGACAGTCATTAGAGAACTTTAAACTGTATACTACTTTTTCAACAAAAATCTTTATACTGCAAAAATATACTTTCACTTTTTTTGGTTCATCATCTTTATTAATCTTTAATCTTCTTTATTTAAGAATGAATTACTTCTTAGACATCAGTATTTAAAATAAAATTTCAGACAGATATGTTATTTTAAAAATCTGTATTTGTGCTATAATGCAACACAATAAAGATGAAGAACCAAAAAAAGTCAACACTATAAGTATGAGTATTTTTTGCAGTATAAGGATTTTTGTTAGTTTACCTTGCCAATACACAAAATAAATCTAAAGATGCATGTTGACACAATACTGGTAATAAATGCTGATGATAAATGTAAGGTATCATCTAGAACAGTTTCAATAAAAATGTGTGCGTTAACATGGTGGGTTGTGGGATTGTACTAATTGTTTTCTGAAATGCCACAGGGTGGGAACCTTCATGGTCACAAACTATTCATGATGGCTCTCCTTAAGATGCTGCTGTGACTCATAGTTTTTACCATCCAGCTGTAATCCAAAAGAGATGCACAGTGATAGATCCATGAGCAGAATGAGAGTAAAATATGTTTTTATGTGCGATTATGTAGGAAATGCATATGTATTTTAATATGCATTACATGCTAAACTTCACTGACCACCAAATCAATATACTTAAAATTCATAACATTACTTTTTACTTATTTGATTTTTTTTAACATTATGGGTGAATGAAATGGGAAGCAAGATAACAAGAGGAACCAAATGTCCAAAACATTTTTTTCTCATAACATTTCTTCCCACAAATGACAAAAAATTCAGAGAGAAACTTTGGGACATTTGACGTAAAAAGATCCAAAAGTCTCAAAAGGAAATTCTGTATTTCATATCGATAATTGTTGTTTAAACATTTGCAACTAATTCAATCCTATTTGCATACTTTGGTTGGGTTATGTCTTTTGCTTTTTGTTAACGAGTGACAAAAAGCACTGTTTTAAATGAATAATTTACACGAATATGTCCACTATTTGGAATTTCAAGCTTGTTACCTTTGCAGCTCTTTCTCTGGCAGCAAGTTTTCTGCTTTGCTTGATGTCTTCCACTCCTTGGCCTGACTTCAAACGTCCTCACTGGTGCATCCACACTCCTGCTCTGTCTCAGGTTCAAGCCAGAGTCGGTTCCTGAATACGGACTGAAAAACCGGGCGAAGAGATGCAGCTCCTGTTGGGGGTTAATCGCTCACTCTTCTTCAGACTCCTAAAATATCATGTTCACAGTAACAAGAGACGACACACACTCTCCGCTCCCCACGCACCCTCATTGGTGCCCGTGCAAGCAGATGTTTCCTGTTGCTAGGAGACTCAGTAAGCAAGGCAATGACGTTTCCTGCATCAGTTGTCATCTTCCCATAGCCAACCTGGAATGTTTTTTATGTTTATTTTACCTTCTCTCTGACAACTTTTGTGTTGAATATTTTTGTGGTCATCACTTTTTATTGTCCTTTAGTCTATGTAGTTGCTCCAAACAACCTTAAAAAAGAAGAAAAGGCAATCTATCAGTTAGACTTAGACTGCTTTTGTAACTCTTGTCTTTGAGAAAAAAAGTAGGTAAACGGGTTCATTATGCAATTAGACTTTGTGTTATTCATAATATGCTGGAATTATTTTTTTACTTTGAATTTAAGAAAGCAAAACGCACCTTGATGGAAGACAATTTAAAGCAAACTAAGAACACAACTGAAATGCTTACAGATGCCAATCCATGTTTGTTGATCAAAATACAAACATCTATAAATACATGTGATAGTACATTCTTCTAGATCAAAAACTCCAGACCTGTTTTTTTTATTTTTAATCCACTCAAGGGATTTCCTCCCAGTGCTTATGGCAAAGACTTAAAGCTGGAAATCTCCACCTCCAATCAGTGTAATTTGGTTCCAAACAAACGTCTCATTTTCAAAATGAAGACATTTGAACCGGGCGCAGGAAAAAGAGGAAGACCACAGAGGAGATTTAGTTGATTTTATTGGCAACAACAAGACTTGTTCCAAAAAAATGTTTTCTGGTGCTCCAAGTGCTCAGCATGCAAGGTCTAGACCAGGGCTGGAGGCAGAATTAATCAGAGTTATTGAAAATTTAAAAATCATAAGTGAGCCTCTTTTTTCTTTTAATATCAAAAATCTATTTGGTAAGAAAAAAAAGAAAAAAAGTCTGTGATGCAAGAATTCAGAATTAAAACTTGTTTGGACTGTGGATTGCACAAAGAGGTGGTAACAGAGGATGGTTAGTGCGACACTACACTACCATTTATGTGGCATATTTCATCTGGATTTTAGCCTGGATAACACTACAATAATTCACATTTACAACAAGTATTTAATAAAAATTAAGTTGACGTTCCAATCTGTTTAAAAAGTATTTTGTGTACTTAATTAATGGCTACCAAACTATATGCAAAACTATTACTTTTAAAAGAGGTGGAGGGGTTTGTGTGTATTTTTTCAAAGTGGAACTGATGAATTAGTATCAGCATGTTTTTTTTTAGAAGTACAAATTCATTTAGTAATAAAAAAAAGCTAGTTTGTTACTTTTGCATGTCATTTACAGAGGTAAAACAAAATTACCGCCTCTCGACCATTGTACTGGGATGGACTCTAGTCCCCGTTGGGTATAAGCGGAACAGAAAATGGATTTATGGATGAGTTTGAAATTTTCCAACTAAATTACCCACAAACTGTGATAATTTAATTGATATTGTGGGAAAAAATATTTTCAATAAATGAAAGTTGTTGTTTGTTGGTGTTGTAGCATAATTGTTTTTCTTTTTATTGTTTTTGTGTTTTGGGTGTTGTGAACGTCAACCCTTATTGAATGTGGTCTTGAAAGAAGTTAAGTCTTCAGCCCTGGTCCTGATCTAGACAGATAAACCTTCCACCTATAATCTGATAGCAGCATTCACAAGGAACAACAAAAAGGCTTCATGCACATTTCTATGATTTCATTACCATGTTGAATATGTTTCATCTAAAAATATTACAGGCACTTCATCAGTATTAAAGACTCTATTACATCTGCAGCACAATCTGATTGTCTAACATCTGCAATGTAAACTGGGATCGCGCATTAAACATGCAGATTTGTAAATACAATCCTGGAAAATATCGATTAACAGTAAACATTTACCACTTGGAAATCATAGATAATCTGTACAGTAACTCAACATGCTTAAAATACAGATAATACTCCCTGGGCAGTAAATATTTCATCGTCATTATACACACAAGCACGAGGTCAGTAGAACTGGACTGCTGCTTCTGAAATTCTGCGGCAGCTTTGATGCCAAAGGAAACGTAACCTTCATTGGTTTAGGACACATTCTGGAATTCTGAAGCAACATTACCAAACAATGCAGTTTTGTAGAAAAAAAAACAAATCATTTGAAGATAATTACTTTTGCACCTAAACACTGGTTTCAGTTTTTTATTTTTTCCATTTGCTGGAGACAAAATTAACCTATTTTTTTCCAGCTAAACTCAATTTACTAAAACTACTGTAATAATCTCTCATCTTAATGAGAAGAATGAGTTTTGTTGCACAAGAAAAGGAACAGACTCCAATGATTTCTGTTCGGTCACTCTGATAATAATTATAGGAAAACAGGAAAATCCTTAAGATGCTCATCAAAAGGAGCAGCACTCTCTCTCATTCATTATATATGACTGTCATTTGCTGGTAAAACGTACTGCGCTTCCAACTTGGCTCTTGTGCTGCCTTTCCCATATACTGAATGACTCAGTAACTGATCACTTATCACTCAGTTTTGCCTAAAAAAAACAAAAATGAAAAAAAATGTTTGTGCTGCTTGAAGCTCTCCTGAATCATTTATGTCACAATAAATCCTGGTTGGAACTGTACATCATTGCTTGGCTGTGCACAATTTGACTTAATCTTTATAAAAAAATTAATAAAGATTATTCCAGTCATGAAAACATAAGGAAAAAATGAAGGTGACAGGTTGAAGACTGAAAAATTTTAAATGAAATTTCTGTGAACTGAATATCGATGTTTACGTTTTAATCTTCAAATCAAATTGTGAAGTTCTGAGGGTCACAACATCAACACCGTACACATGGAACATCTATGTGCTCTTTGTGTAAACGCCTGAGAGTTTGAAGCAGAGGCATCTGTTAAACATGTACTAATATAACACCCTGCTCGAGGCTCAACCTTATGACTGAAAGGTGTGCAGACAGGAGGAGCATGAGCACCGGCAGTAATAGCATCTCACACTGTACTATTAAACATCTGGAAATGCTGATTACTACATTCAGAGAGAGATGAGCTAGGGGGCGAGTACTCTTCCAGATTAATTCAATGAATGTAATTTAAAGCTGTGTCGAGATATCAAAGGTCTCTTTTGATTTTCAACACTGACGGGTGCTGACATGTAAAAGAGAAGGAGCTATGGCTGAATAACATTATTCAGCCCTGATGAGGCGTATCCCAGTGGAGTGAAGAGTCTCCAGCTGCTGGTTTTCCTGCCTTTAATAGCTTGAGCGTTAGAATAATATGAATGGGTGCTGAATATGAATGAGACATCTTCCTCATCCACTTGAAATTTGGAATAGCTTTGCTTCTCCCCACGTGGCTTGGTTCTTTTTAGAGTTTTTATGGTGACGTGGTCCCGCAGAAGGAATGCTACACTATAAAATATAACTTGAAATACTAGCCAAAGAGCTTTCTTATACATACAGACTAAAATCCAGATTATGTGAACTCAAACATGGTGTAGATAATTAATCTTTTAAACAAAACCCTTTGATGCTCCAACTATGAAGAAGATTAAAACATGGCTGCTCATTCATGTTATCTATAGTGAAACAGTCAATATTATACATGTATATTGTTAAAAAGGTGTATTCTTTATTGTAGAATCCTTTGAAAATTAGAATCATGATTAAATATTTTGTTTATATCCAAATAAAAAAAGTAATCTGAAGTCATAAAGCACTTCTTTGCAATGAATTGAAATGAACTATCCGTCTATATTAAAAGATTTAAATTTAAAATCAAAATCAGAATTTGCTTGTTAAACAACTCCACATGTAAAGATTTGCTAGATTCTGATGAATCAATGTTACTTTCTGTACAAAAATCTAATTTAAGGCATCAGATTGGGCTTAAGCAATTTACTGTGATCTTCGAAAATCATTGTATTAAGTAAATGGTCCTAGAGCAGAGTGCTGGGATTAATTCTCAACATAGCTTTGTCAATGAACACTTTTTTCCAGTGTTTATAGACATTTATGAATTATTTTTTTTTAAGATACTTGCTCGCTGAGGGTGCCACCAAATCAACTATTCTTGTACCACAAATTTGTAATGTCTTGGATTTTAATTAACTGGAAGTGATTGTGGTATGATTGTATACATTAAATTGATTTTATTAACTTGAATTGGACAGAATCTTTAAGTAGCCCTGAGATGACCTTATGAGTTATAAAAGTAAAATTGAATTGTGAATTTTAAGTCAAATCTTGTCAGATAGATTGACTAAGTTGAAAGAACCTTGATTCAGTCAAAAACGAGGTGTGCTCTTTCATTATCATGTGGGCTATGTTCTATTTGTATCTGATATCGCATTTGTGTGCTATTTAACATCAGATCGAAACCCTAAAAACTTTCAAGTTGGTCTACCAATCAAAACCCAAAGCTCAGTTCCCCTTCACCACCCTTCAAGTGATTTTAGACCTTATTCTGTTATTCACCTTTGGTTTGAAATGTGAAAATATGTATGATGCAGTGTGAATATAGTGAATGCCACATGGCTGAGAAACATATTATAAGGAGCTTTTAAGCCTTCAGATATGAAAACCTTCCATAAATAACCCCACAGTCAGCAAATTATGTTTTTTTGTTATTCAAAAGAGCAAATTCCATCCAACTTTGAGACGCACGAAAAGAAGTATCAAGCCTCCAGTAGGACAAGCCACCGGCAGACCTGCTGTCCTCGACTCTCTTTCATGTCTTGCCAGTGAAGTTGTTCCTCCTCTCCGCTGCTGTTCTGGCCGAGGGCTATCCACCCGACCATCTCTTTGCGTTTCATGCTGCGGCGGTTGTAGATGGAGACCAGCAGCGTGACGTCCGACAGCTGGAACAGGGCCACCTGGAAGACGAACGTCTCCTTATAGACGGGGTTGGGCTGTCCACGACGCACCGACGTCTTACACCGTGAGATCTCCTGCCCGACAGAGTTCAGAAGAGTGAGCCGCCCGTAGGTGTCTGTAGCCGAGGAGAGAAGGGGGGGGAGAAGGACTGCAGAGTGAGTAACTGATAATGTACTTGTGTCATTAAATCTCCAATGAATTGGAATGTAGTAGAGTTAAAATTGCATCTATAACCATTTATTCTCTACTAGACAGTGGACATGAAAGCTTGTTTTATGGGTAGGAGCTCCATGCAGACCTGGAGGTCGGTTGATAGCCAAGTTTCTGAAATGGCTTCCTTTGATGAGTTCCACGGACATGCGTCCTGTGGTGGCATTGTAGGAAAGACCCACAAGTAGTTCGGGCACACCGCCATGGGTCAGAGACTGAGTGGACGAGGCACTGTCAGTCGGAGACACGGCAGATAAACTCAACTGGGTGTCCACGCTCTAAAAAGAAAAAGGCATTGTGTTACTGACTGCATTTAGATATCGATGTCTTGACTGGTTAACTAGGTAAAGTCACCAAATTTTCTCATTCTTACCTTGATGTTACTTCGAGGCTCAAGAATCAGCGTCGTCTCCGTCATACCCCCATCCTGCTTAATGCCTCCTAAATGGAGTATTTTCTCTCCCATCATCCGCTCCCGAGACATCCTACCCCCGAGTGCATATAACCTGAACCTGATGGCTGACATCTGTAAATCAGATGGCTCCAGGCGTGAAAATCGAAAAGTCTCATCGAAGCGTGGCGTCGAGCCCTTTTGTACTGTCGTTTTGTGCCGTTGTTTCTTGGAGGGCAGAAGGACCATGTGCACCTGCCACGAGTCCATGCCACTGCGAGCCTTGTCTGGGATGTCCAGAGCCGACACCACCCTGACCAGCAGCTTCTCTGAGCCGGGGCAGTACTCTAACGAGAGGACCAAGTCTCCACATTTGGATATAAGAGGCCGAGGGGAGGAACACACCGGGTTCGATGAGACCTCAACATTTGGAGCCTGCTCTTGCTGAAAAGATACAGAAAGAAATGTCATTTTAAATTAGAAAAATATTAAAAAATAGAACCAAAATTTGTCCAAAATTAGTAGATTAGGCATTAGATAGTCTCAATACTAATTTAACATATTGTTAACCCTGTAATGCCAAATGTATCATATTTGATACATACTGTTTCTGAAATGTTTTGCGTCTGACAACTTTTGCATAATTTAATGGTAAAAACTTTGGTCAAAATCCTATGTACACAATCAGATACACCTGATAACAGGGGGCAGAAGACTACACGAAAAATAATCTTGAATTGTATAATAATAACTTATTAATATAAAAAATGTATTTTTTTTACATATTTTGTTAAAAGGCCAAATAAGGAATTCAAACCAAAAAAAAGGAATTTTCTGTTTTGTTTTATTCTTGGATCAGGCTTTAAAGGGTTAAATATATAAATAGAAAGAATCTATCTCTTTCCAAAGACAAAGATATGTAGATAAACTACAAGACTGATCCACTGATCTTCCACTGATCCACTGATCTTCCACTGATCCACTGATCCAACCTAATTTGTTATTTACAAAATATTTCTAGATGTCTGTATTAACTAGTGTGTTTGAGTATGTGAATGTGTGTAGGAGGTGTTCACTGCACAGATTGCTCCCAATTTCATAGTGTGATTTGGTGACTGACTGTCAGGTTGTTAGATTGTCCTACATATTCATGAAAACCAAGACAAAAAGACAATACATACAAGCACAGAAACAGAAACATCATCCAATCGGATACTTAATCACAAATACGTGCATTTAAAGACTCTTGTGCTTTGTGTGTATTTTACGTATTGTATTTCTTGTATTTTTATTTGAAACTGGCTTCTCTTTAGAATGAGACCCTGTGTCTTTGAGAGATCACCTGTAAAAATTCCGATTCAAGAAAATGAACCAAATAAATTCCTCACAAGCTTTTGTTTGTTAGCAAGTGCAGTGTTGACAGCAAATGGAGCATGCTTTATTTGATTTATCCTTAACTTTACAGTATCAGGTGTGGGGAGTAGACCTGCGTAATGGAACTGAGCATATTGGTAATCCTTACGCTGCTAAATACTGACACCTTTGTCAGGGGTTTTTGTAAGTAATGTCTTACTTATTTACTAATTTCTCTGTCCTGAAGACCTGAAATATAGATTTGTTTTAAGCAAAAGTCAAATCCATCCCTCCACAGATTTCCCATACCAGTTCAGGGGACCGGAGCCAATGTGTGAAAAGAAAAAGAAAACCTGTAACTAGCTTGATGCTGCTAAAATGGATAAATGTATAGTACAAATTTGATCTTTTCTGTCAAACACAAATGTTTTATGATTTAAAACGGAAGCTTAAATTTTTAATGAACGCCTAAGAATGAATATATGCATTGTAATTAGCGGGAGGAATTAGTTTAAATTGTGACTCAATACTGCAGTACCTCTGGGCTCAAAGTAGAAGAGCTATCTGTGGCTTCATTTTTGTCCACAAGATTTTCGGTGTCTTCACTTCCATCAGCAGCCTGACGGTTCATACTTGGAGTAGGACTGTCTTTCGGAGTTGATGTCCCAACTCCGATACGTTTTTCCAGAGTCTTGGTCTCAATTTTTTCTTCAGTTGCAGAGAGCGGGTCCTGGAAACGGCTGGGAGCCTCCATCTCTGCAAGAGAAATCAAAAATAATTTTTAATCTGTGGAAGGGGGGGATATAGTGTCTCAGAACAAATTCTGCTATGGCTGAATTTGATGTTAACCGCTAATTTTTGTGGCACATCTTTAATCTTTGGGAATCAATTATTTTATGTAAACTATTCCTTACAATTACAAAAATATAAATATGAATTCTATATTTAAAATAGAATCCCCAGAACAATCCCGGAAGCAAAGTGCAGACACAAAACCATCACAAGAACTTAACACAACTCCACTCTAAAAAAGGCCTGCAATTCATTTAACTTCTTTTATCCATCCATCCATCCATTGTCCCCCGCTTATCCGAAGTCGGGTCGCGGGGGCAGCAGCCGGAGCAGGGAAACCCAGACTTCCCTCTCCCCGGCCACTTCAGCCAGCTCCTCCGGGGGGATCCCGAGGCGTTCCCAGGCCAGCCGGGACACATAGTCCCTCCAGCGGGTCCTGGGTCTTCCTCTGGGCCTTCTCCCGGTCTCTAAGGGAGAGCCCAGCCACCCTGCGGAGGAAACTCATTTCGGCCGCTTGTATCCGCGATATCGTTCTTTCGGTCACTACCCAAAGTTCGTGACCATAGACGAGGGTGGGAACGTAGATCGACCGATAAATTGAGAGCTTCGCCTTTAGGCTCAGCTCTCTCTTCATCACGACAGATCGGTACAGCCCGCATTACTGCAGACGCCGCACCGATCCGCCTATCGATCTCACGCTCCCTACCCCCGTTCGCGAACAAGACCCCGAGATACTTAAACTCCTCCACTTGGGGAAGGACGTCCGCTCCGGCTCGGAGAAGGCACTCTACCCTTTTCCGGTGAGAGACCATGGTCTCGGACTTGGAGGAACTGATCCTCATCCCAGCCGCTTCGCACTCGGCTACGAACCGCTCCAGTGAGAGCTGTAGGTCCCGACTTGATGAAGCCAACAGGACCACATCATCTGCAAAAAGCAGAGATGCGACCCTAAGGCCACCAAGACTGACACCCTCAACACCTCGGCTGCGCCTAGAAATCCTGTCCATAAAAGTTATGAACAGGACCGGAGACATAGGGCAACCTTGGCGGAGTCCATCTCCCACCGGAAACGGATCCGACTTACTACCGGCTATGCGAACCAAGCTCTGACCCCGGTCGTACAGGGACCGAACAGCCCGTAGTAAAGGGCCAGGTACCCCATACTCCCGGAGCACCCCCCACAGGATACCCCGAGGGACACGGTCGAACGCCTTCTCCAAGTCCACAAAACACATGTGTATTGGTTGAGGGAACTCCCATGCACCCTCTAGGACCCCGCTGAGGGTATAGAGCTGGTCCAGCGTTCCACGGCCAGGACGAAAACCACACTGTTCCTCCTCGATCCGAGGCCCGACTATCCGACGGACCCTCCTCTCCAGAACCGCTGAATAGACCTTCCCAGGGAGGCTTAAGAGTGTGATCCCCCTGTAGTTGGAACACACCCTTCGGTCCCCCTTTTTAAATAGGGGGACCACCACCCCAGTCTGCCAATCCAGCGGGACTGCCCCTGATGTCCACGCGATGTTGCAGAGTCGCGTTAGCCAACGCAGCCCCACAACATCCAAAGCCTTAAGGAACTCCGGCCGGATCTCATCCACCCCCGGAGCCTTGCCACCGCGAAGCTTTTTAACTACAGTGGGGCAAAAAAGTATTTAGTCAGCCACCAATTGTGCAAGTTCTCCCACTTAAAAAGATGACAGATGCCTGTCATTTTCATCATAAGTCAACCTCAACTATGAGAGACAAAATGAGGAAAAAAAATCCAGAAGATCATATTGTCTGATTTTTTAAGAATTTTTTTGCAAATTATGGTGGAAAATAAGTATTTGGTCAAAAACAAAAGTCTATATCAATAATTTGTTATATACCCTTGGTTGGCAATGACAGAGGTCAAACGTTTTCTAGAAGTCTTTACCAGGTTCTCACACACAGTTGCTGCTATTTTGGCCCATTCCTCCATGCAGATCTCTTCTAGAGCAGTGATGTTTTGGGGCTGTCGTTGGGCAACACGGACTTTCAACTCCTTCCAAAGATTTTCTATGGGGTTTAGATCTGGAGACTGGCTAGGCCACTCCAGGACCTTGAAATGCTTTTTACGAAGCCACTCCTTTGTTGCCCGGGCAGTGTGTTTGGGATCATTGTCATGCTGAAAGACCCAGCCACGTTTCATCTTCAGTGCCCTTGCTGATGGAAGGAGGTTTTCACTCAAAATATCACGATACATGGCCCCATTCATTCTCTCCTTCACACGGATCAATCGTCCTGGTCCCTTTGCAGAAAAACAGCCCCAAAGCATGACGTTTCCACCCCCATGCTTCACAGTAGGTATGGTGTTCTTTGGATGCAACTCCGCATTCTTCTTCCTCCAAACACGAGGAGTTGCGTTTTTACCAGAAAGTTCTATTTAGGTTTCATCTGACCATAGGACATTCTCCCAATGCTCCTCTGGATCATCCAAATGTTCTCTAGCAAACTTCAGACGTGCCTGGAGATGGACTGGTTTAAGCAGGGGGACACGTCTGGCACTGCAGGATTTGAGTCCCTGGCGGCGTAGTGTGTTACTGATGGTAGGCTTTGTTACCTTGGTCCCAGCTCTCAGCAGGTCATTCACTAGGTCCCCCCGTGTGGTTCTGGGATTCTTGCTCACCGTTCTTGCGATCATTTTGACCCCACGGGGTGAGATCTTGCGTGGAGCCCCAGATCGAGGGAAATTATCAGTGGTCTTGTAGGTCTTCCATTTTCTAATAATTGCTCCCACTGTTGATTTCTTCACACCTAACTGCTTACTGATTAGAGATTCAGTCTTCCCAGCCCGGTGCAGGTCTCCAACTTTGTTTCTGGTGTCCTTCAACAGCTCTTTGGTCTTGGCTATAGTGGGGTTTGGAGTGTGACTGTTTAAGGTTGTGGAAAGGGGTCTTTTATACTTATAACGAGTTAAAACAGGTCCCATTAATACAGGTAACGAGTGGAGGACAGAGGAGCCTCTTAAAGAAGAAGTTACAGGTCTGTGAGAGCCAGAAATCTTGCTTGTTTGTAGGTGACCAAATACTTATTTTCCACCATAATTTGCAAATAAATTCTTAAAAAATCAGACAATATGATCTTCTGGATTTTTTTTCCTCATTTTGTCTCTCATAGTTGAGGTTGATTTATGATGAAAATGACAGGCATCTGTCATCTTTTTAAGTGGAAGAACTTGCACAATTGGTGGCTGACTAAATACTTTTTTGCCCCACTGTACCTCGGTGACTTCAGCCCCGGAGATTAGAGATCCCAACTCCGGATCCTCAGGGTCTGCCCCTCCAATGGAGGACGCGCCAGTGGGATTGAGGAGGTCCTCGAAGTACTCCGCCCACCGACCCACAACGTCACGAGTTGAGGTCAACAGCACCCCATCCCCACTGTAAACAGTGTTGGTGGGGCACTGCTTCCCCCCCCTGAGACGCCGGATGGTGGACCAGAATCGCCTCGAGGCCATGCGGAAGTCTTTTTCCATGGCCTCCCTAAACTCCTCCCACGCCCGAGTTTTTGCCTCGGCGACCACCCGAGCCGCATGTCGCTTGGACTGTCGGTACCCATCGGCTGCCTCCGGAGTCCCACAGGCCAAAAAGGCCCGATAGCACTCGTTCTTCAGCCTGATGGCATCCCTCACCGCCGGTGTCCACCAGCGGGTTCGAGGGTTGCCGCCACGACAGGCACCCACAGCCCTGCGACCGCAGCTCCGGGAGGCTGCGTCATTGATGGAGGCGCGGAACACAGCCCACTCGGACTCAATGACCCCCGCCTCCCTCGGAACATGCTTGAAGCTCTCCCGGAGGTGAGAGTTAAAGTTCCGCCTAACAGGGGACTCCGCCAGGCACTCCCAGCAGACCCTCACAACACGTTTGGGCCTCCCGGGTCTCACCGGCATCCTCCCCCACCATCGGAGCCAACTCACCACCAGGTAGTGGTCAGTGGAAAGCTCCGCCCCCCTCTTGACCCGAGTGTCCAGAACATACGGCCGCAGATCAGCTGAAACGACAACAAAGTCGATCATTGAGCTGCGGCCTAGAGTGTCCTGGTGCCAGGTGCACATATGGACACTCTTATGCCTGAACATGGTGTTCGTTATGGACAATCCGTGCCGAGCACAGAAGTCCAAAAACAGAACACCGCTCGGGTTCAAGCTGGGGGGGCCATTCCTCCCAACCACGCCCCTCCAGGTCTCACTGTCATTGCCCACGTGAGCGTTGAAGTCCCCCAGCAAAACGAGGGAGTCCCCAGGGGGGGCACCCTCCAGTACCCCCTCTAAGGACTCCAAAAAGGGTGGGTACTCTGTGCTGCCGCTAGGCGCATAGGCACAAACAACAGTCAGGACCCGTCCCCCCACCCGAAGGCGAAGGGATGCTACCCTCTCGCTCACAGGGGTAAACCCCAACGTACAGGCACCGAGATGGGGGGCAATCAGTATGCCCACTCCTGCTCGGCGCCTCTCACCGGGGGCAACTCCAGAGTAGCAGAGCGTCCAACCCCTCTCGAGAAGGCTGGTTCCAGAGCCAGAGCTGTGTGTCGAGGCGAGACCGACTATGTCCAGCCGGAATCTCTCCGCCTCGCACACCAGCTCAGGCTCCTTCCCCACCAGAGAGGTGACGTTCCACGTCCCTAGAGCCAGCTTCTGCAGCCGGGGATCAGTCCGCAAAGATCCCCGACTCCGGCCGCCGCCCAGGGCACACTGCACCCGACCCCTATGGCCTGTCCCATGGGTGGTGGGCCCATGGGACAGGGGACCCATGTTGCCTTTTCGGGCTGGGCCCGGCCGGGCCCCATGGGTGAAGGCCCGGCCACCAGGCGCTCGCCATCGTGCCCTGCCCCTGGGCCTGGCTCCAGGGGGGGGCCCCGGTGACCCGCGCCCGGGCGAGGGAACATTGGATCCATGTATTGTGGTCATCATAGGGGTCTTCTTGGCTGCGCTTCGTCTAATCCCTCACCTAGGACCTGTTTGCCTTGGGTGACCCTACCAGGGGCTTGAAGCCCCGGACAACATAGCTCCTAGGATCACTGGGACACTCAAACCCCTCCACCACGATAAGGTGGCAGCCAGGGAGACAGCTTCTTTTAACAAAACTATAATTGTGTGACAATCTCTGTGATCTGCATTGAGGAGAATTTATTTGAACACATTACTCATCAATAAAAAGAAGATCTGCAAGGATTCAGGAATGATTCCACTAAAAAGACTTTGATTTGTTGTCATTTTGCCCTCACAGGAGTCCTTCAGGTTTTGAAGTTGTCATCCACGCATGAAAAAGCCTGGAATTTGAAATTCCAAACCTGTAATTAATCTGCTGCATCAATGGAACTATACATGAGTCTTTAAAGTATCTCAAAGCCTTCGCTGGACTAAATACTTGCAATCAGGAGGAAGTAATTTCATAAGAAAGTGTTTTTTCCTCTGGATTTAGAATCATGCGTGCAACATGTTGTTGTTGGTTGTATCAATAGCACACATTTTTGGATTTAGCTAGTTTCAAATTTTATAAAATAAATAAATTTGAGAGTAAAGTTCCATGAATGTTTACAATTAAAACTAATTAAATTTGATACTGTAAATCATACTTTGAAGTTTTCACCAACAACAGAACAGTAACAAGAATTTTAGAGAGTCAGTTGAGACATGGAAAAATCAGTCTAACCTTGACCTCTTCCTGGTTCAGGAATGCCCAGTGGACAAGCTGTACCAAGAAGCAATCAATATTCATTTTCTCTAATTCTCTGTCATTTAATCTTGTCTGACTGTTCTATCTAGAGCTACATTTGGACCTTACCACGACAACAGGCTGAGGTGAGTCATTTGCCTGTGTGTTGCCTTGCTCATTTTTGGACTATTTCACTGCACTGTTCACACGTTGCTTGATGATAAATACATGAGCTTAAACACGGTGACCATACTTGGCCATGTCGGTTTCCACCAACAGATTGAAACAGGTTGCAAACACTGTATGCTTCTTTTATGCATACACTGTTGTGTATGCAGAAAGTAACTGAATACACAAGTACAGATTCCCTTCAGACATCCAGGCAGTCGTCTACTGATCAAGAGGTTGGTGGTTCAGCACAGTGTTCCCCTCAGCCACATGTTGAAGAGTCATTGGGCAAAACACTGACCCTAATGTTGCCTACTGGTGTATCCACTGAGTGAATTTGAATGGGTAAATGGCATGTAGTGTTTTGAATGATCATTTAGACAGGATAGTACCATACGAGTGTCACCTAAAAATAGAGTTCTCAGTCATAAATCTACCCATCTATACACCATAATAAAGCTTCATTTTCTGTCAGATTCAAAAACACACCTTTTTCTACTTAAACCTGCATGTGGAGGAACAGTGGAAATTTGGTTGAGCTTGGAGGTAACAGGGGTTATTGGGAACAGTGGTAGGTGAGGCTGATCGGTGCTACTAAGGGGCAATACAAATGAAACTTTCTCTTGTTATCTACTGCTATATAGTGAGGTTCCAAATCCAGACCAGAATCCCAAAAGACAACAGGAAGTATGATAATCTTTTTCCCATAATATAATGCTGATTATGTGTGTAGATAACACATGCTTTCTCCAGTATCATGGCACCACGGGAACACGTCGCTAAGGGGTTGTTGGGTAGTGATAGTTGGTTCTGTTTGAAGTTTTCACTGTAAGAGCTATTAGAACAACTGTCATTTTATGTACAGAATTTCAAAGCATAACTGCAAAGAGAGAGGCTGACCTTAGGATTGCATCTTTACTTTTTGGGGATGATGTAGTTCTGTTTGTAAATTCAAGCCAAGACCTTCAGCTCTTCAAAATCTAAGGTCTTGGTTCTCTACCAGAAAAAAGGGGTATGTTCTCTTAGGGTTGGAGATCTGTCCCCCTATCAGAGGAGAATTTAATTATCAGAAGATATGATAAACCTTTTAGCCTAACAGCAGGGAAATGTTTCCACGATGGATGAAGTTGGAGTGAGAAATGGACAGATGGATTAGGGCTCCGTCAGCAATTATGAAGGCACTGTTCCAGTTCATGGTGGTATGGATAGAACTTATTGGGTAAGTTGCTTGGTCATTCAGCGGTAAATTGGAATACAACTGTTGCTGTTCCACATTGAAAGAAGTTAGTTAAGGTATGTCATCTGGTTAAAATACCTCTTCACCACTCTATGGAGGTTTTCTGGACTTGTACAGCAGAAGAAAAAGACTACACTTGAGAGATAATATATCCTATCTCTCCTGGGAGGAGCTGATGAATGTTGCTAGGAAGGGGATGTGTGAGTTTGTCATTTTTACTTTCTTTCTTTCTTTCTTTCTTTACCCAAATCATCACTAGTTTTACCGTTCAAGGAGGTCTTATCACACTGTAACCCTTTACAACATCTCATTTTCAATTTTTTCAGCACTGATAAGAAACTATGCAACACTAACAACAAACAAGAATCAAGAGACAAACTAGCTCTAAATCATAACACAAACAGTGCTGACATTAAAGATGAGTCCTGCTCAATCATTTTTTGGTGGTTTCAGAAATTTGGCTATTTAAAAGAATGCAATTGGCTGTGAAGTGACAATATAACTTTTAAATCAACTGTAAAAAAAAAAGACGAAAAAAAGTAAGTTCATTATATACAGTAACTGAGATGTGGTTGATACACATAGCAAAATGGAACCATCCTTAGGTGTTAACCCTTTGTGTTCCTCTAGTGGTAAACCTAAAAACCGGGTCGATGCCAAACTATCACAAGATGAAGGTGAAGAAAATATCATACTTGGAGACCTGAGGGGACTCTCTCAACACAGAAATAATCATATATCAGTAAAGTATGATGACCCATAAGTCAATGTTTGCCAGTACCTTCACAGTCAGATGGCTCAGTGCTGCCCTCGTCCTGGTCTGATAGGCGGGTGAACTTATGGCGTCGACCCAAGGCTACCTGTGTCTGGTTAGATAGCTCTAAACTAGTACTAGCCGCCGCAGCGCGGAAACTCTGTGAACGGGACACAGAGATTTCAAACTGCTTCAGGACTTCGTCTTCGCTTTCAGAACTGGTGGCATCAATGTCATCATCACCATAGCTGTTCACTGGAGAGAGGTATACACAGGGAAAAAGAGGGAGTGACTTATGGGAAAAGATGGGAAAATCCTGGAGAGACAAGGAAATCCAGAAGGAAAGAGAGAGCAGCAACAAAAAGTGAATTGAAACATAAATTAAAAGTATTTTTGTAAGCACCTAGTGACCTCAGCTATCAAAACTGATGGCTGAAGAGAGAACCTTATATCACATGTGAACAAAACTATAATGAACAACACGATAATTAAAAGTTTTTTGTAAAACAGGTTATATTTGCGACATTTCGTTGTGTTTGTCACAGACATAAAAAAAGAAGTAACTATAAACCATCTTAATGCTAACTACTATTGAAGAGATCTGTTCCAAATGTAAATTAAATGATTTTTTTTTAAAGAGAAATGTTCTGTGCTTCTGACTGAAATAATGAAGCCTGTTTGCAAGGAGGGTCACCTCACTATATTTGCAGTTGAACATAATTGGATAGTAACAGCTGAATGAATGACGCTGTGGTAGAGTGATCATCCCCCTCTTCTCGAAAGTGCAGGTCACCATACATTCTAAAGTGTTTGCCATGGTTACGTACAGGAGAGAAAGGAGGCTTTGGGCTGAGTGGGCGAGAAATGTTTGATTAGTCTGTTACATTCTGTCCTCTACAGGCTTGCGCAGTAGAGTAACAGGCCTGACAGATAAGAATGTAATCTGGTGTGTGCATTTATTCGTTTAATTTACGTATTTTACTGTATGTATGTATGTATGTATGTATGTATGTATGTATGTATGTATGT